CACCAACACCAGCACAGGATTGATGATCGGGGACATTTTCATACCCAGGACCAGAAGGAATGAGGTTGGTGGCCACGCAAGGAATGATCTTGCCGTGGAACTCGCTCGAAAGGAGGGCATCAAAACCGTACGCAAGAGGATTAATCCAGTAGATCCAGCCAAACCAGGGATGCATCTGCGGCTTGGTGATCATATAACCGGTGTACATGATGAGGGCGGAAATGAGGAAACCGGAAACCTTGGACGCGCCGTCGAATGTCGTGAAGAGTGCTCCAACCGCACGGAACAATGCGGTCATAACCTATATAGTGGAATTCCGTTAGCCCAATGGCAAACTTCGATGACTAGATTCCATGCGGGGGGCCCTTACCATTGTCACAGCAAAAACCAAGATCCAATAAGTGAAGAAACCAGACGCACTCATAGTGAGGCCCACCATGAAATAGACCACAAGAGAAAAGATGCTGATCTGGAACAGGAGGACTGGGATATCGGCAGTGATCTGAGCGATACAAAAAGCAGCAGGGTGGAAGAAAGCGAACCCTTTGTGTTTGACCAAAACTGGCCGGCCACTGAATGAGTCGGTCACTTCCGACATGGACAGCAAACTATTATAAAGCAACGAAAAGAAAAGAGCACCGGACTTGACAAAGAGACCTCCCGAATTGTTCGGCGCATTGTAAAACAGGGATCCTGCAATCAAGGCCTGGGCTAATGTCGACACCTGTTTGATGATAAAAGTGGCTTTATCACCCCAAAGGATCTGGTACTGACGAGCGATACATGCCTTGACCTGCTGAACAAAATCGACGGTCATCGGGCTGTTCTTCGGCAGCTTCTTGCTCCGGTCGTGCGAGATTGCCATCTCGAAGTTCTCGGTGCGTTCCCGGGCGAGATCGGAGTCGGGGTAGTCGTATTCGGCCATCATTTGAGTCCGGAGGGGAGACTTCTCATACTCCGCCAGAAGCATGTCGGCATTGCGGGGGAATCGGTTCTCATATCCGGGTCGGATCTTGCGTTCCGTGGGAACAGTCACACCAGTCAGGAAGTCAGCCACGTTAGACCCCTCGCGGCAGACGAAACCCAGGTCCTCCATGAAGGGCCTTGCCTGGGACATAGGCCCGTAGTAAACCTGCTTGCCCTCGTCCAAGACCAGTACCTTATCGAACAAGTCATAGATTCCATTACCCGCCTGATAAAGCGTGACAATAGTCGACAAGCCCGTGACATCTGTCAAGGCTCGAATGGCTTTGGCCCACTCGAGAGCAGTGCTGGCATCTAAACCACGTGTACTGTTATCCCAGCAGAATACTGACCCGCGAGAGGCCATGCATTCTATGATCGAGACACGTTTGCGTTCACCACCAGAAACACCTCGAACATACTCGTTACCGACCTTCGTATCGTTCGTGTGCGAGATTCCCATGGCTTCCAGCAAAAACTTTTTCATTTCCAGGCGATACGCTTCCGCCGACTCGACGCCTTTGGGTAGATTGAAAGGGATCTTGAGCCGGGTTGCGAAGTCCATTGTCTGACCAACTGTTAGTGTGGGGAAGAACAGCTCTTCTTCCGTATTCATGACAATTTGGCCACTATAGCGGTCGGCTTCTTTATGAGTGAGCGAGCCAAAGCGGACGTCACCCTCCACCGATTTATACCCTAGTCGTCGATTCGAGAGCATTTTGAGTAAGGTCGTGCAACCTGAACCTGGCCGACCTAACACGAGAAGCATTTCCCCCGGTTTCACGCAGCCATGGCTGTTCTGAAGAATCGAGCGGAGAGGCGGTTTGTTACGACCATCTTTGATCTTCTGGGGGATGTTGAACTGGGATAGGAAGTTTTCGTTGACGGCGGCCTCGGAGCTAACCACTTCGACGTTCACATTCTTCCAGGTGACGCCGAGTTCACGACTCTTGAAACCGGATGCCACGTCTCGTTCATGTTGCTGCTTGACTTGTGGCATCAGGCTCCAGTCTTCGGCGCGGCTGACATTGGCAGGGCGGGGGGTAGGCGCCGACTCATCACCCATCACCGTAGCTGTGCTGTCGGTATCATCTCTGTTGTCCGAAGGCGGTGCCTTCGCATAGTAGTCCTGGCCCTCCATGGCTTGAGGGAAGCTTAGACTGCAATCAGTCTGGACGAAGCTTTCCGGCGAGGTTGACACCGAGAAAGAAAATCTTCCATCCCGAGGATGGGACGGGAAAGGAAGTATATAAGCACATTGCTCTTGGGTGGGTCTGAGGGCCTGAAACCAGACCGGCACCGAGTTCACATTCAAGCGACCCACCAGGCATGCATCGAGGCTCCAGCAAACCCCATAGTTTATTGGGATTTATTAGGGAACTCATCTTGCTCAGACGTGGCCATCAAGTTCCTTGTCGCGGAAAAAGGAGTAAAACAGGCCCATATTCCGAGTGGTGGGGCCTGGAGCCAGTGGTTATCTCCGACAGGTTCTGCACCGTCTCAAGTTAGCCAATCAACGGGTGGAAAAGGGGAAACGTTCAAGCTTACATGGAAGTCCCTTCCAGAATTTGCGTGTCGAAGTGCAAACTCATTTGTCGATCAGGAATCTTAGTGTTGGATAGTTTGGGTTCGGAGTCGGCCCTCAACTGACCGATCGGGGCCAATCTCGTTTTTGCCTTCCGATGACTCAGCGGCTGTCGTGCCATCGGCGCCCTTGATTGGCTGCAAAAGGCTTTCAAAGTCCGAATGCCTCCGCTGAGTCAGCGGAACCTTCCTCTTTTAGTTTAGCGCGGGGAGCTGTCTTCCGACGCCTTTCCATCTGATCTGATAATGGCCCAAAAGCAATCTTGATAGTCTCGGCTCTGACGCAGAAATTTTCCTTTTTCTTTGTTCCTGTTTTTTATTTTTTTTTCTTTGCCCCCTGGTCGTCCACTTAGTCCTTTCTATTCTCGCGTCAGCCGATTGTTAAGCGGCTCTCGTCCATGTTCCTGTTCCTATCTATATTCCGGGCATAGTCACCACCACCGCCACTACCACGGATCCTGAAGCAAGTGAGCTTATCGAAAAGAGGAAATGACAAGCGCTCGATACGGAGTCGATGACCAACTTGACATGTCTACTTCCTGGGAATCACTTGCGCAAGTGCCATGCGGCGTTTGGTCTCTGTTCTACAAGTATGGATCTCAACTATCAACTACGATCTTGCGCAACAAAGACACGACGGTAATGATTCGCTGCCATGGCAAACTCTCAATCTGCTCGATCTACTCCGTGCTCTGTATCGCAACTCACCGCCATATCTCACATCTAGAATGAACCCTCCAGCGTCATGACACATGCCAAGGCTAATCTTATTGGTAACTTGTGTCGTAAAAGACCCCATATCTCGTGTTTAGTTTAACACCGACGCTCCGAGGCTTCTATTAATATTCGGACTTTTTCCCTTTTTGCCATTTTTCTTTGTCATTCATTTTAGTTAACCAACTAACTGCCTAACTAGTTTAACTAACGTTAGTTAGGGCATTGATGAATATTCAATGTTTGGGTCGATGTGGGCAGCTTCCGCCACTATTCTTGGTTGGGTTAGTCTTGCGAATGGACAGAATCGCACCCTGCTTCTAGAACGCTGGATCCTTCCTCTACTTGTCCTTCTTATAGATTGATACTCCTGTGAACGCCAATTAGCTCATAGGTAGGATAGCAGTCAGTATGACGTGATCGTATGCCTATCTGGCAATTCCGCCATGGTTGATTAGTAGTGCTTTACAAATTCATTAACTCCGGGGGTTCTCCGAGCGTGCTGTGGTAACCAACGCTGCCTCGTGCAAGATAACTCCGTCTTAGAACCACCTACCCCCATTGACGTATGGTTCCAGTCCATCAGAAAGGGACGAAGGAAGGTTTCAGACATTCTGGAGCCATCACTCGAGTCTTGGAAATCCTCCATTTCTCTTACAGCAATGTAATCAAATATCTATTCCGTCGCCCTTTGACTGCGGATGGTGGCGTAGCAGACAAATGATAAGACCCTGAACGTCAACATCTTTATATGCTTCTTTGTCTCGATGCATTTCTTCTTTAGCCATGTAGCCCGCATCTTGTTCAAGAAATTCTACAACAGCAGACAAATCGTAAGACATAACAGCATGACGCAAGGACGTTTGTCCGCCAGTTGAGTAATGCAGGAACCCCCCTCGAGCTGCGTACAGAAGTATATTTAGGGGCCAGGGGTCCGCCTTTGCTGAGATAGACTAGCGTCTTCCGATGGTGGTTGACCCTATTTGAGCCAAACACCAAGGGAACGCCGTTGAATCCGACTAGAACACAATCTGTACGTCTATCCATCGTGTTACTTGCATGGATTCGGCCCCCGTAACCTTTCTTGTGATCAGTTCTCTAGTATCTGTATGTCAGTCTCGTTACTACTCGGGAAAACATGGACAATATTTTTCGATCCTTGCCCGGCCTCATGAGGGTAAGTTTCGTATTGGATAGCCTCTTTGCAGGAACAGCTCCGACCTAGGGCAACTCTTGAATCAGTCCCTGGCTTCTTCACCGAGAACCATAAAGTCCAATCAGTTATACTTGAGCATACACATATGTCGCTATCCATCCACAATAAAGCAGTTGCACATCAAACAACCCAATTCAGGGGTGTTTAGATTCCCACCCGACTCCAGAGCAGGTCAAGTACATACAACTCTTATTCTCGATGCATCACATCATAAAGAGAACAACAGCACTGGTAAAGTCCCCTCACAGCACAATCTCGCCTTCCCCATCAGGTCTCTCAAATCCCCTCAGATACCGTTCCAAGATCTCCTCTGTTACATAAAACGCCGAGTCCCCATCCTTATCAACCCGCTCATTCCGAGCCTGAACCCGCCGTCGGAGTTCGGCAGCACCAACATCCAAAAACACCAATACCCATCTCCCTCCCAACCCCTCGATCATTCTCTTCCACTCCTCCCGCACCGTGCGGAACGCGAATGAAAAGTCGAGCACGAGATCTACCTGTCCTCCGGTTAAGGCGGTGATCAGTTCGCCCCGTAGGCTTCTTCGGCTTCGAGCTGGTATTCTTCGTATCGTTCTTTGGGGTAGTCGACGTCCCAGAGGCCGTGATGAGAATATACGTAGAAGTCGATGGACAGACGGTGGAAGGATGGGTATGCAGAGACGATGGAGTGGGCTAGTGACGACTTTCCGGAACCTGGTAATAGATTAGGCCTTGGGGTGTGGGGAGTCATTTCATGGCAAAAAGGGTTTCTACCTGCAATGCCGCAGGTCATTAGAACTACGGGTCGGGGATCGGCTGCTGTGCGATATAGATGAGGATGAAGTCGGGTATGTGCATGGTCAGTATTGGGGACTGTGGTGCTGACAGGAGTAGATGGCATGGCTGTGGCTTGTAGAGGACTGAGTTATATTCACTGGGTGCGGATTACGGTGGGTGCGCAGTCGTTCTCTGCACAATATTCAATGATTGAAGCGAGTGTTCAATTTAGTCTTATATAAATGATAGGTATAGGCTGCATCGTGAGTCATCGAGTGCATTGAGCCGGTCGACTGCAAGTTGTCAAGCTTCTGATAGCTATGGTAAGGTTTGGTGCTTGTGGATGGGGGGGTTGCTGTGAGAGACTCAGCAACTGCGAATTTAAGAGTAATTGGTGTAATGATATAGCGATTGTGTACTGAGTTGTGGTATTGACAAGTTGATAGATAAATGTCTGAAGTGAGAAATATATTTCACCGCAGAGAGACAACACACATCGATTGAGTCCATGCGATTGAGGGATTATCAAAGTTTACACAAATTTACACCAATTTAAGCATTCTTACAAATACAAGATAAATTAAAAACCAACTGTGTGAGGGAAAGGGGAACAAAAAAAAAAAAAAAAAGGAAAGGAACGAGAAAAAGAACAACAGGGATGGAAATCCAAAAAAGAAAAAAAGATGGAGATGCGGGGAATTGAACCCCGGACCTTTCACATGCTAAGCGAACATTATACCACTAAACCACATCCCCAATTCGATGTTTAACTGTTGTATTTCTGGCATTATAAACCAAAGAATGGATTCAAAGGCTAAGACAGTTGGCCATTTTGAGTTCAGAGTGTGATATCCTAAATGGGTTAGACTGTCGGTGGCGCAAGTATAAAGATGATCGTTAGGAAGTGGACCTCTGAGGACGTAGTTGAATATAACAGCTCAATCTCACATATAAACCAAAGTTGTGCTTTCTCAGACCAATAGCATACCAAGTCTCTGCATCTAGACCCTGTATCAACGCTAGATCCTCCACCTCAGCCAAACGAAATCCATGCGAAAAACAATGCCAAAACCTTATGATAAAGTCCTCACTTTCTGGTTTGGCCAGCAAGGCTCCCGAGAGTATCTTCAACAAAGGTCATTTTGGTACGGAAGTCCCTCCGACGACGCCTATGTTCGCAAGCACCTCGGATCCGACTACGAAGCCGCCAAAACAGGGGCTCTCGACGGCTGGAAGTTGGACGGCCAGGGCGAGGGCGCACTAGCCCTAATTCTTCTCCTAGACCAAGTCCCCCGGAATATCTTTCGCGACACCCCACAAGCATATGCCACGGACTCCAAGGCAGTTGCTGTAGCCCGATATGCCGTGGACCAGGGTTGGGACAAGAACATGCCTGCGATCCAACGTCGATACATGTATTCGCCGTTCAATCATTCCGAGGACTTGAAAGATCAGGAGATGTCGCTGAGGTTATTTACGGAGTTGGGGGATAGTTATCATTTGCATTGGGCAAGGAACTTCCACGATCAGATCAAGCGGGATGGGAGGTTTGTGCATCGTGATCGGATCTTAGGGCGATAGATTATATGTGGGTAGTGAAATAGATCAGTAAAACTGGAGAAACTTGTCCAACACCGCCATCAAAAGGGTCTATCCATGCCTCCAGAGCATCAGTGCGAGTAAGAGGGCAAGCTCCATAACCTAGTTTGAATGACTACCGGCAATGCGCCCAAGCGCCGGTCCTAGCTCACATACCGATTTCTAGATTCCAAAGATAAATCTAACGATTGAGCCCAACAAGAAAAGTATGTTTGAACGGTAGATCCTGTGTTACTACATGACCTGCTTTACACAATAACTCGAAGCGCCAGGCTGTGTCCAACGATATGATACTCACCATCGTTCCTGCAATCCTGCAATACATGAATACTAAATTGCTGTGCCGAATTTCTCCATGATAAGGTGTTAGGTACTGAGAGGAGACTGCTCGCATTGAAGTACCATGCGAGGACTCTTCGGGCGGGGATGTGTTGAACATTTCTCATCTAGTAACACTGGTCAATCAAGATTCGAATCTATTAAGGCAAAGACTCATGATTGTACAGAACGGCATGTTTACAACCTCACTGACTGTGGTGAATAGGGATGACCGGCATTTGGATTCGGAACTTTTGTAATTGCTTCCTCTGTAGTCAAAAGAAAGCCTGGTTGACGTTAGTCTGGGTAAGCTTCATGACGGCTGTGCAAGACGTAGATCCTACTGATTGGGCTGTAATAGAGCAAAGGGACCATCTATCAGGACTCAGTGAATGCTATGAAATTGGAATATCCACTACAAAGTAATCTCATGCCCTGCCGAGACACCCCATTATTTGTGACTTGAGTGGAAAGGCAGCGGAACTTCTCGGTAAATTAATTGATGCTCAACATTACCAAATTAGACGAGATTAGAGTGCTACCGATATTTATATTTCTACGAAAGAAAGAGAACGTGGCTGGGGAAGGAAGCTACTTGTCGTTTCCCCAAGAGATTGCTGGCAGGGAAGGCATGGTTCATCTCTGGCTTACTAAACACCTCCAACAACCCTACCCAGCCCTAACAACAACAGCACTTCAGACTTCCATGCAGGGATAAAGGAAGACTAAGGATCCTTGGATCTGCGAAGCAACCTTATCTGACCTGGGGGCAAGCGCTTTGAGATCTCTAGCGAGGAACAGTTACTGCTACGACGTATGAAAGAGGCAAAAATCCAAACGGTTTGCCGCACATATCGTTGACGTCACTACCAGCTGTCAACGAACCATAAGGGTAAGAGTTTTGCTCTACCAGTTCTTCATTCTGATTTAACCAAGAAAATAACATGGCACGTGGCTTGGCAAGTTCATTTGCCGTTATCACTTCTTTGCCCATAATGTTAAAGCGTCTACAAACAACCATGCATTCTCCAAACGGTTCAAGATTCAACTGTCTGCTCGAAAAGAACACCAATGGTTAGTTTGGTAGATAGGCAATCAGGACTTTCAAACTTATATACTTCCCATCAATAAGAAGCCCTCGGTTTGCGAAATTCATGATGGTATGGAGTCAGATCAACCCTACATCACTCCATCTCAGCTTCTTGTTCCTCTCGGGCAGTATCCTCCTATACACTGTACTTTCACGTTTTCTAAAAGAAACACTCCTTCTGGCAGAACCTCCACTCGCTACCTTGGTCGGTATTCTGACTGGACCCGCCGTGTTGGGTGCCGTTGAGCCCCAGCCGTGGAAGCTCGGCGATCATGTCACCAAGGAACTAGCACGACTCACTGCGAGTATGCAGGTATTCATTGTGGGCATTGAGCTCCCCGAGGGATACTGCAGGAAGCACTGGAAAGGAATCGGCATCCTTCTTGGCCCCATCATGATAAGTGGCTGGGTCGTATGTACGATGCTGATCCATCTGGTTTTCGGTGCTAGCTACCCGTCTGCGCTCGTTATCAGCGCTTGCCTCACTCCCACCGATCCGGTGTTGGTCGCGACGATCCTGGAGGACCCCAAGGCGACTAGCGACCGTATTAAGTATCTTCTGGCCGCGGAATCTGGCGTGAATGATGGCACCTCATTCCCATTTCTATATCTCGGGATTTTTATCCTGAAGGAGCATTCTGTTGGTGCCGTGCTGCGGGAATACTTGACGGTGACAATAGCATACCAATGCATTGTGAGTGTTGCTGTTGGGATAAGTCTTGGTTATGGGGCGAACAGGCTCCTCCGCTATTCCTACGAGCGTGGTAGAATTACGGAAAACTTCGTTGCTCTGTTCCCCTTAGCTCTGATCTTCTTCAGCTTAGGATTCTCAAGCACGATGGGGATGGATGACTTCCTACTTGTCTTCAGCGCAGGCATCGGGTATGCATACCACGGTCGGCTTGAACATGCCTACCAGGTAAATCCAGTGGCCACCTCATTCATCAGCTTCTCTCTTAGTATAGCGACCTTTATCTATTTTGGCCTGATGATCCCTTGGGCTGCTGTCGCAGATACGCCGCAGTTATCATCATCAAAGATTGGGATATTTGTGCTTCTTGTTCTACTGTTTCGTCGAATCCCTTTTATTGTCGCACTGAAACCATTTATTCCCGATATCAAAACGTACAGGGAGGCGCTCTTCTGCGGTCACTTTGGACCCATGGGTGTCGGCGCTCTGTTTTTGTCCATGGAGGCCAGGGAAATCCTTAATTCCTCCTGCTCCCGGGCACAGGCACAGCCGGGCGACAACTGGGACCAGTATGCCTGTGAAACTGTGGAGTTGGTCTGGCCAGTTGTTTGCTTTACTGTTTTGGGCTCTGTTGTGGTGCATGGCTTGAGTATGAGCATTGCGAAGTTGGCTCGGACTGTGATATGCGCTCGAAAGCAGCATATCAAGTCATCATGTACCTCAGATATGCCCAGCACAGGGTCTGAAATCTTGAACGGTGGACTGTATCATGATGAGGAGAGTCTACTCTAGAGTCGATGAAGGTTCGAGAGGTGGATTATTTCTGCTAGAATCGAGAGTTGGAATACACTTAGAAGCTATCCTAGATTTAAGAGTATGCCCTAGAATGAACAGCGAACTTTTCTACAAGAATAGCTTGCTTTGGTTAATAGGCTATCACGTATGGAAGCTATGTAAAGAGAGAATTTTCTAACGACCCTCTTGGTTCTTGTCCATTTTCTGCCGTGCGGCGTTCGGATATCAAGCCTACCACTAAACCACTGTCCAAGAGTTTGCACTTCCACCATCGTCAGTGCTCTTCCTCGACCCTTACTAGACTAGATCTGTCTGCTATCTTCCCTGCCAATTCCATCAAGGACGAACTAGCTAATATGTCCAGAATTGGCACCGTGCCTTCCATGTGTTTGGAGATCCAATTCCGGAGTTCGACCGCTACATGGGAATCAATTCCGTACTCCGTTATTGGGCCAGTAGGGTTGATGTTGTCAACTGGAATTGAGAGATTAGTAGCGACTCGAGCGCTTAAAGCCGTGTATATAACTGCCGCAGCGTCTTCAAGGGATTTTGTGGCCTGGAGGTCCTGTCTCAGCGTATTGGAAATTTCGGTCTGAGCGTTGACTGACGTGCCTAGATGAAGTCGTCGAAAGTGGGAGAAAAGAGGTGCATCGAAGTTGGGCAGTGATCGACCTGATTTCCACTGACCTAGCCCAGTAATAATTTGGGAGATCGTTCTGTCTTTCTGGCAGCTCATGATTGCCACCTCGATCAGTGACATAAGGGTCTTGCTGTCAGTCCCCTGGAATCCTTGCTGCCCCATTTTCGATGCCAGCTCTTTGTTCTCCGCTAGATAGCCCGCATCTGTGATTACTCCAAGATCTAAGGATACGGCTGGAAGGCCCAAGGAGTTGCGGTATGCTGCGAATGAATCCATGAATGTTGAGCCGGCGGCGTAGGCGGCCTGAGTCGCGTTACCTATTATGCCGCTAATGGAAGATAGCATGATGAACCAGTCGAGATCGGATGGGAGATAGCGGTGGAGGTTCCATGTGCCGTGGTACTTGGGCTGTAGAACCGCAGTGTAGTCATCAAGAGTCATTTTCTCGATATGAGTGTCCTGCGAACTGTCAGCTGTATCCTTGTAGATCGAATGTTACGAGAAGGTACCCTCAGGAGCATGGCACCTTGGATGATGCCCCGGATTGGCGGTGCAGTTTCTTTGAGACTGCTCATCATCTCCTTAACTTGATCACGTTGGGATATGTCGCAGGCATGAACGATGGCTCGAACGCCCTTCTCTTTCAACACTTTGATAGTACTTTGAGAAGATTCTCCTGATAAGCCCCTCCTACTGACAAAGATGATTATTTTTGCTCCATGATCTGCCATCCAGTGTGCTGTCGCGCGACCGATACCACCAAGCCCACCGACAAGCATGTATGATACATCTGGTCGAAGAAGCATATCGGGCTGCCTAGGGACGATAGTCTACTGACTTAGTATTTTCCAAAAACGAAGGGAACGATACGAACCTTAACCGTCTCACCAATGCCAGCTGTGAGTACAATGGGGTCTGGATGATCTGCTTGTGTGAGAACATCCAGCGCTTCAGCAATGTCCGAGATGCTATAAGTGGTCGGGTGCGAGTGACCACGGAGTGTGCCTCGGCGAAGAAGACGCGCTACTCGGTCCCAGACTTCGTCAAGCATATCTGAATTGCTCCTCACTAGGCTTCCAATATCGACTGTTGCAAATATGATATTTTTGTCGAGTGCTGGCACTTTCCATCCACTCTTCTCAACTGTTTTACGGGCATGTAACTGAATGAAAGTGCCTGATGTTCCAAAACATCGCCATAATGAACCGAATGCATGATTGTCAGATTGATCACAGTTGACTATCGTCTTCACCCCTCTATCATCAGTCAACATAAGGAGATCTTTTAAGAGCGACTCGTCATTGAGAAGGATCCGTTCATCTGGCAACAGAGCCGAGGAGACCAAAAGTTCCTTGTCTACTACGCTTTCCACAAGCGCGTATACATGAGCACTTGCAACTGTACATACTTCTATCGTAGCTTGACCAACTGCTCCAATAGCGGAATTGATCAATACTCGATCCCCTGGTTTTATCTTAGCGAGACGGTGAACGGCATGGAAAGCTGTGCAATAAGCCGCAGGTATTGCGGCAGCAGTTTCAAAAGACATACCCGAAGGCATTTTTTGAAAGGCAGTTTCGCAGTCTTGGTAGAAACTGGCTGCTGTTCCAGATCTCAAGCAGGCTACTCTGTCTCCAGGTATTAGATTGTGAACTGATTTTCCGACGGCTTGTACAGTTCCGCTGCATCCAAGCCCAATGTCCGTTGCGTCTGAAGCTTTGCTGTCTGCTAGCTGTGCATCTTGCTCACTCAGTCCGACGGCATGGACTTGTATGCGGACCTCAATATTGGAAAGTGTGGTAATCCGGGTGTCCTCTATGAAATAAATGCCTTCCGGTTGGACACTGTTATTCACCGCCACTCGTAGATGTCGGTTGTCCCGATGAAAGGCCTCAACGCTTGTAAGATGCGTGTCATGAACAGATGCAATGGCTTCATTCAAATGTCGGTTCTCTACAACCCGAGGGACAAGAAGCGCACCACTCCGTTCTATATACTCCGTATCGGACTCGGCTGGCTTGCTTCTTAACAGACAATGATAAACAAGCTCGTATATGAGTTTAGCCGCTCGATACCCGCAAAGCGGACTGCCAGCATCTAGGTCAAGTGTGATAATAGGCTCTACCCCCGTCTCTGAGCGAGCAGTCCGTGCAAGGCCAGTAATTAGACCGGCTTCTGGATTGATTGGTGTGATTGTGCCACCACGCGTCACCCAGAGGATGCAGGTCGCTTCTAGAAACATCTGCTTGAGTATATCCATTATTTTTTGATTGAAATGTGTCAGAACTGGTGCCTGAAGTTCACTCAGGACGACGCAAGCCTTTCTCTGCGGCTTAAGATGGGCCAGGTCGGTGGTGTTCACCTGCGATACCGAAGAAAGAAGGTCTTGCAAATGAGGTATCTGTACACCGCACTCTCCCCTCTCTGCTATAATAACTACTTCCGACGTAAGGGAAGCCTGTTGCCTTGTGGGTCGGGAAATAATAACCACATGTTGATCTCCAGATCCCTTTATTTCTTGTAGTTCCGAAAGCTGGGTGTCCCTCAGAGTAGATATCAAATCATTGTCGAAATATCCAACGCCATCTTGCTTCCAGGGCCCCGGAAAATTAGCGAATATCACATACTCGGATAGTTTTAGTTTCGATAAAGGATCAATCAGGACCAGGTGGCCATTAGGCTTGAGGAGACTCTGGATATTGCCCAATGCTCTATGTTTCGATTTGACTGTGTATAACCCATGTGCAATAATCACGACATCGTACTGGTGTATGCCAAACCCCTGGGCATTTAGATCCCCCTCACTATCGAGCTCCTTAATTTCTACGCAATGGTCCCATGCGCAAATCTCACTTCGTGCTGACCCTAGAAGACGTAAATCGGGGTGTGTTGCGGTATACTTCGTGAATCGAGTAATGCCATCCTTTGCCCCGACGAGCCGCTGGAGGAATCTTTTCGATGCCCCACCTGTGCTAGCCTCGATTTCAAGGATTGAGACCATAGGGTTCTTATGGCTGACTAGGTCCAAGTACCTGGACACTGTTTCATAGGCTGGGTCATCATAGACCCTTTTCCAGTACTCGTTCCAGATAGAATGTTCATTGGCTGTTATAAGGCCGGCATCATCTGTCAAATTAAGAGACAGACTTGCGCCCACAGTGCAGAGAATATGACCTTCAGGGCCAGAAGATCTTACTCGTTCGATGTCTTCATTGTGGATATCGCAGGATGTCTGATTCCGCTGAGTCGCTATGTCTTTGAAAAACTCGAGCTGTCGTTTTCTAAACGGCTGAAGCTTCTCAATGGCCGCTTGGTCCACGTGCTTAACGTATTCATTGATGTAGTATAATGCGCATGCTTCATGCAAAGCGTTGAATCCACTGCACTGCTTTTTCAATTCCTTACAGGAGGGTACAATGCTCGATAACGTAGACCCGGTCAGCAAGTCTACATCCAAATCCCATTTCAACTCATATGCCATATGGCTTTTCGTTCTCCTTGGGTCTGGAGATTGATTCGGTCCAAGACGCCTGCACCGTAGACCTGTAATAGAAATCGACGGTTGCCGAGATTCATCCAGAACTGAAATTGAAGCTATGAGATTCCCCTTCCTTGTTCGCTGTGTTTCGGTAAAAACGTTTAGTTTGCTCCCAGCCGTGTGCCCTGTGCGGCACGACACGCACATCTCATCGATACGGATAGGAATAGTAGGGCCGTTTATTGAGTCTGTGTTGACAAATATCGTGTGAATAATACTATCCAAGGTGCAAGGGTGTATCAGAGATGGGTACTGGAAATTCATGGGCATCACCGCCGCAGTATCTGGAGTGATAATCTCTGATACACACGTTGAATTCTTGAAGCGTGCTTGCTTGATGTTAGCAAAACATGGTCCGTACTCAAGGCCGACACTGGCTAAGGTCCTGTAGAATAGTTCGATGTCAAGGGAAGTAAAGCCGTCAGTTGTTTGCTCAGATTCAAGCCCGAATTTGGTCCGATCGCTATTCTGTGCTCCAATCAAACCACTGCAATGCTCTGTCCATATGTTGTCCTGCGTGACCGAGTAAATGTGGAAATTGTGAGCTGGATAGGAGCCACGAGAGTTGCTCTCGCATTGGCTGAGTATGAGTAAAGTCTCTACAGCCCCTGTCTCCTGGAGAACTAGAGCCGATTGTATGGATATATCACGAATATAGATTGTGGGCATCCCGTCTGCAGAGGTACCGTTTAATTCATGCTGAAGGAATGCCTCTATCGCCATGACAATATAACCAGCAGCAGGATATACTATATTAGACTCGATCCTATGATCCAATAACCAAGGATTCTCAGACACGCGAAGGAAGTTTCTCCACAAAGGCTGAAAAGGACAAGCCATCCTATCGATAGCGCCCAACAGGTCTGTCCGGGCATGCTTGCGATTGCGAAGGTTCTTGCTAATTCGAGGCTCTGCCCAATATGATTGTAGATGACTCCACACATATGGAGGGAGATCAACGAGCACGCTTGGTTCATGGGAGGCTGTGGGATTGTTAATCGCCTGGGAGTCCACAGGGTAGCCGGTACACATTAGTGTGGCGGCAGCGTTTAGAGCAGCTGTAATAGCGTTGCTCTTTCTGGTCAGGACGCTAATGTATAAGATCTCAGCTGCATTGAGCTTCGTGTCATCTCGCAAGGTCTGCTTGATTGGTCCTGCCAGTGTAGCGTGAGGACCAACCTCAACAAGGGCATCGACGCTGACCTTTTGAGCCATGCCGACTCGCTTTATTCGTTTCTTTTCTAACGTCCTGACGGGTGCCCGCTGGTTAATGGTCTCGAAGCACAGGGCGCGTAGAGAATCGACGAAATTCACCTGGCCCACAAGGTTACTAGCCCAATATCGGGAGCCCAATTCGGATGGTTTGATCTCGGCTCCTGTCACTGAGGAGAAGAAGGATACGGATCGATTATCAAGATAGTTGGCAATATCCTCACAGCTCCTCGGGCTCACATGTGCTATATGGCCCAAGTACTGCTCCTTAACTAATTCCATGTGGTGGGAGTGGTATGCAACTTCCACTGATAGTCGGCGGCTAAACACTTGTTTTTCGCGAACGATCTGCTCTAATTCATCGATAGCAGGGAGATCTCCTGCAATCGTGACGCTCGATGGGCTGTTGATGCATGCTACAACAGCCTTTCCCGAATGAAGCAGATCGAGATACGACTGGCACTCTCGGACAGACGCCCCGAGGGCAAGCATGGACCCCCTTATCTGCCCGTTAGCGAGAGGCCAGTTACTGACGACCACTCCTCGGTAGTAAGCCACTGCCATGGCATCCTCCATGGTCAGTGCACCAGCGGCATACGCAGCGGCAATTTCCCCGCTAGAGTGTCCGGTCACCGAGTCTGGATATATCCCCCAAGATGCTAGTAGATCTACCAGGGCTATTTGAAGGGCAGAGCATATAGGCTGGCTGAAGAGGGGGTTGCTTAATCGCGAGGCTCCTTGATCCTTAAGTATCTCTTCTATTAAACTTCATCAGTGGATTCTAGTCATGACGTGAGGTGAATCCTGGCAAGGGGTAATACCAGATTAACGTACCCACCATACAGTAAGGAGCGCCGATGGATTTTATGTAGTCGTCAATTCGTTGAATTGATTCGTGGAATACCGGATATGCCTCTAGTAGCTCCTTTCCCATTCCCGCCCACTGTGCACCCTGTCCTGTGAAGACGAAACCGATACTTGGTCGTCGACGAGCTTTAATAATTTTCACCCTACCAGATAATGTCTCTGCTAGTGTTGCAGGGGACGTTCCCACAATTGCAGCTCTGCAGGCATGCATCGTGCGGCGTTCATTCAATGTATAAGCTAGGTTATTCATGTATCTCTCATCTGCTTCTGGCTTGTCCTTGAGTAGATATTCTCGAAAACTTTGAAGTTGCCTTGTGGTGGATCTCTCGTCAAACCCAGAAAACATGTAGACTCGAGATCGTGTAAAGTATGTTTGGTTGGCAGCGACAGAATGCTCACTGTATCGCACTCTACCTCTCAGTCCACGACAGTAAAGATAGCCTGGTGCATCTTCGAGTATGGCATGTGCGTTACTCCCGCCATATCCGAAGCTGTTCACAGAAACACGATGCGGACTCGGGCATTCCCACGGCTCTGCAGCTAACTGTATCTGTGGCAGGCTTAATGACTATACCGAACGGGGGTTGTCGAGGATTTTACCTTGAGCCTCCAATCTTCGCATCGGATACGAGGATTTACTATTCGAAAGTTGCGGTTGGGGAGAAATGTTCGATTCTCGAGCATCAGGACGGCTTTAATAACACCCGCAACTCCGCTCGTGCCTTCCAGATGGCCAACATTGGTCTTGATGGATCCGACTCGTAGCGGCCGCATGGGACTTCGGTTCTGACAAAACACCTTTGCGAGGGCTGCCGTTTCAATATGGTCGCCAGCCTGTGTTCCGGTACCGTGCGCTTCGACGAAGTCCGTCTCGCATGGATCGAGGCCAGCCCCCTGGTAGACATGACGCATTAGGGCTTCTTGCGATGCGCCACTCGGTAGGGTAATACCGGGGGTCCTGCCATCTTGATTCAGTCCAGAACCTCGAATTATGGCGCGAATGGGGTCGTGGTCTTGAATAGCGTCTCTTAGCGGCTTGAGGACCAAACATCCAATACCCTCGCCTCGAGCGTATCCGCTGGCGTTTTCGTCGAATGTGTGGCATCGTCCGTCGGGGGAAAGAAACCTGGGTATTGGTTAAATATGATTAGATAGAATGAGCGTTTCCTACCAACTTCATCATAGTCATCGTCGACATGAACTCATGGCTGAGGATCACATTGACTCCCGCTGCGACGGCCATCGAGGCATCACCAGTCCGAAGGCTTTGACATGCCAGATGGAGAGCTGTTAAACTACCCGAACAGGCGGTATCAACTGTCACACTAGGGCCTCTCATGTCGAAGAAGTATGACACTCGGTTTGCTGTCATGGCTCGGGACTGCCCGGAGTTGGTGCACTGATACATTGGAATGCAGTCTGGATCGCGCAGGAGGAGATCGGTGTAGTCAGCGTTGAAACAGCCAACAAAGCAGGCTGTTGAGCTGCCCATAATCTTTGCCATCGGGATACCAGCTATTGGCTGTGAGCGTGCACTCAGATACGATTCCAGGACGGACCTACCATTTTCAAAGCCTTCGTAAGTAACCTCGAGTAACAGCCGTTGCTGAGGGTCCATCGCCTAAGGGCTGGGGTATTAGAAAACCAATCCGGACCCAGTGATTGCTGAGTTTACCTACGGCTGCCTCGTCGCTTGTCATGTTGAAGAATGGTGCATCGAACAATGTCACATCTTGCGCCAGGAAATGCCCTCCTTCAACGTTGATCTGTGCGTGTCTTGGTGTCAGCTCTAAGATGGCCACATGCTTGAAGAATACGCTGGTACTCACTGTTCCGTGTCTTGAGTGATCCGGATGATAAAAGACATCGTTGTTCCATCGCGACTTTGGAATTGGACTCCACGCTTCTCGTCCTTCGAGAATCATTGTCCACAATTGCTTAGCATTGTTGGCACTTCCAGGGCCTCTGAAGCCCACCCCGACAATTGCAATGGGCATGCACAGATCTTTTGATAGGATGGACAAGTCATCTCGGTCTAATGAAGTTGGTTCTGAAGTGTTAGTGGAAGGTGTCGGGATGGCGGGCGGACTATGTTCAAGGGAATCGGCCGTCATGATGGTTCAGCGACCCATGCATAGTAGCTGGAATGGAGTCACAAACATAGGGGGTACATCGGATCATGGGCAATACAGGAGCAACTGATTTGAAATATACGGTGTACAATAATTCCGTTAAGATCCGGTGCGAGTGTTGCACATCACAATGTCCCGAACTACATCTGCGGAGATCACCGAATCACTCTATTGGACATCGGATGATTCGCATTAGACTTTCCTCCTATTGTTCCGGGATATATCCCATGCTAGATGGACAGGAGGCAGAAGCAAAAAAGCATAAGCTGAAGTTCAGGGGTCACCAAACTGCCAACGCTTGAACTGCCAACTTCCTGATTGCTGTAGCGATGGCAGAAACATTCTTTGTATCTATCGGGATATCGTGGCCTCTGCTGTGCACCACCCAGGTCGATATGGATGGATTGCACAGCCGATACAGGGCAAGTGAGTACTCAAGCAGTGGGTCTTCAGCTCCGCCTATACTCACGGTTGGGATGTTGATGTATCCCTCCAGATCTGGGTCAATCACCGGATCTCCCCCTGGATCCATCCGGAATGGTGGAAGGGAGTTGATGAAGATAGCACAGCGAAACAAAGGCAGTTCCTGCGGGTACAATTTTGCACGGTGGACCAAGAATCCAGCTGCCAAGGTGCCCCCATGGGAGAAGCCCAGGACCCCATCGAAAGGACCTTCTTCATGTACAACTTCGTAAAGACGGTCGTACGCACTCAGTAACGACTCTCCGTCGGTGTCATTGTCGGAAATCGACCGGGGAAACCTATAATAGCTGTAGTAAGGGCCGTCGTAGAAGCCCGAGATTCCCGGGCCTGGAACCGAATCCACGTCGCCCTCGACGAAATGGAATGTCGCCGTATTATCGCGACAAAGATCGGTCATTAGACCATCTATTTGTTAAGCTGATTGGCCTTTCTCAGGGACCGTACCACGTACTTAGCTGGGACTGCAAGATCTATCACACATAGGTGAGTGCCACAAGCCTCGGCCATGCAGTAGATTTGGCTCACCTGGGTATTGGTGCCCCAGCCATGGAGACAAAGTAGTTTGAGAGGCATAATAGCTGGCGTTGTTACCACAGACAACTGCTGATTGGTGACGGGTATGGAGCCCATAGGAAGTGTATTTGTATCTCAGTCTCGAAGATCGCCTTGCTCTCCTGAATGCGATTCTCATGATGCAAGTAGGCTCTCAAAAGTCCCCGTGTTACCACGGAGCATTTTCTTGAACATTCCAACTGTAAAACGTACCTGCTTGCTTTCTGACACTCACTTATCCTGCTTTAAGTTATCGGCAGCCTTATAATTCCGTAGTATACTCGCAGACTTAGTGTGGTGAACCTGCCTCTACAGGAGAATTTTGAACAGCAATGTATTGTTTGATCGGGAGCTATCTCCATCACATAGCTTTCCCCTAATATATATTGCGCTGATATACGTCTACCACTAGTGACCCAGACCAAAGGCATGGGCCGGTTCCAATAAAAGGAGATGGCAGTTCTGATCTTGCCCGGATCGCACCTGATATAGTTCGGGGTGGGATCCACGCACTATCAGCGAATTGATATATTGGTATCTCCTATATGCGAATCCTATACAAAGATACCTTAGGGGAATTGTGTTGAGGTGTACATTTGTGTCACGGACGTCTACTGTACAGGGTAGGAGACCGGTCAACGAAGTGTAAGGCACCTAATCTAGGGCTTAGGCTATAGAAGGCATTTTACCAAAAGACCAACATTACCCGCGAGTTACCACTCGCGGGCCCTAGAATCTACTAAGTAGCGCACTGGATAGTCTAAGGTTCGTGTGCCTTACAACAAGGATACTTTGGCACAAACCAGAGACGAATCGTAGAGACTATTAAGCCAGGACACAGATTCTTGATTCTTGAAATTCTATCCCTATAGAATTTCCTCAATTCATAATCCTATCTAGATATATATATCACTCATCGGTATTGAAAAGGCAGCGGATATACCTTCCAACATTGCTATGTGGCCACCGAATTGTCCATACACCAGATGCAGGGTACACCATACAGTCATCAGACCAAATCGCTCTTATATAGAGTCAGAGTCTTCCATTCTAAAGATGATAAATATTAGCAGGTTGAATATTAACAATATTCACAGAGAACTTACCCGTTGATATCTTTGACCATTTCTCCACTTCTGTAGTATCGGACCAATTTAACTCTTGTGCGGGATATCCTCGAGAGGGAACTTCTCAGAAAAAGCCCCTTGACATCTCTTATCGGGAGAGCAAGTATCTGAAAGGCAGCAGCCACTATCATCTGAACAGGATCGATTACACCCTTGACTGAATGTAACAACTGAAGGATCTATCTGTGGTTCAACAAGTTTGAGATCATCGCGCTTTTTCCCCGGAGATATAGGGGAATCATCTGGCCCTGAGATATGCTTCTGTTCTAATAATGAAAGGTATTAGAAGACTTCAAGCCAAACATAAACAGAACTTACCCATGGAGAGTTTTGCCCAGTACTCTACTTCTGTACTATTCGACCAATCTACCGGCTGTCCCATGGGATAGCCTTCAGGGAATTTCTCCTTAAAGAATCCCTTACAGGTTTTGTTAGAACATATGTCTGAATAGCAGCACTCGATATCCTGTTCACAAGGTCGACTACATCCTAGGCTGAACATTGACCCTGGAGCCGCATCCTCCGGAAGAATAAGATCCTTGTCGAAGCGATTTCCCGGGCTACCAGGCTCTTTGCGGAAAAAGCGAGCCACATCTACGATATAAGTCAGCCAATATGAGCGAGAAAGGATGCCAAGTACAAGTAACGAAGGATAGAGGCGGGGCAACCGCTGACTTTGGCTGTTACCTGCAACCGCAGAGGCCGCGAGGCTGGCGAAGGCAGACAGAAAAACCAGATGGAGCTTCATCGAGGGCAACTTGGGGCGACGCGCAAGCGAAGGTGAAATAACTCGAGTCACAATATCCTGTTGTAAGATAGATGCAGATAATCAAGTGAAGAGTGCGGGTGCAGAGTTCAAATGGCCAGAACCAAGGGCAACCCCCAGGGACTTTATAACCCAGGCTGCGGCATGCATATCGAGGAACAAGTTCACTTTTCCCCAACTACAGAGATGATGCCCCATCTGATTCAACCTTCTCTGTACACAGATCTAGGTACTCGACCCACATCCCAAGCCTGGAGTTGCTAAAAATATAGATCCCTCAGCCTATAGTGGTCCGAGCAGTGCGGACTCATCCCCATCAACAAAGGCTTCAAAAAGAGAGGCACCCGGCGCCCTGGAAAGTTACTCCAGAGATCGTTCTTTGTCGGTTGGGTTAAGAACAAAGATCGAGCTCCCCAGCATTACTGGAGCCAAGCCTTCTGGTTTCATCTTCTTTATCCTAGAAACCTTATGTGGTGCCCGTTGCCTTCCCCGGTGATTGTTCCTGGCATATCTACCCTATACTAACTATCCTCCCTTCATCTGTATCCATGGCGGGAATAAAGAAAAGCACACGGGCAAGTGAAACAGGACGAGCAGCCATGACTTCCATAATGGAGGAATTACTCCCGGTTTTCCTGCTATCATCTCTATACGGAGTAGTCCTTGGAGACTCACTATATCCAAATGGAATCTGCGGATGGTCAGCCCATAGGGTGGATGACGCAACATCAAGTATTAGAGATGCTCAACGATTACGGTGCTACAGGATCATGACGGAAAAGACCAACCGTAAGTACATATGGTTGCAATCTCAACTCCCCAAGATCATATTACCCGACCTCCTGGAAATGTTATCCATGGGTCCAATATCCCGCTGCATCACAGACTCAGCTATCTCACTGTGCTCTGCTCCACTGAAGCAATTGATCTTAGTATAGACAAATTCATCTTTGTCCTCTCTACTCGTGTACGCGAATAAGATACCGCACCCCGGGCAAGACTGTACACCAGATGAAATTACATTGCTTCCAAGTAGCCAGCCCTTGTCTCTAACATGGGGCTCTACGTCTCATTGCTTGTGGGCAAAACAAACAAAAATCAAATGCGCAATTAGATAATTAAGAACATACATACGAAAAGGGAGCTCAGAAGAAACAATAAGAGGGAAGAGAGAAAGAAGCAACAGAACCAGAAGAGCCACGAGCCACGAGCCACGAACAGATACTCTAACCATAGAGATCCAAACTCATACCAAAACGCAAAGTGAATTACCCCTCCATCTCAGTTGGTTCCCGTATCGCAGGTAGCTCTGCTGCAGAGTGTACCGGTGTCTCGTACTCGCTGGGTTCGCGACCATACATCCAAGGGTGTAATTCAGTTGTGACACTTTTATCGGCACGTCGCTTAATTCGTAAATAGACAAGAAACGCGCCCACTATTACTCCCGTGATGGCCGTAGTGATGCCAACACCAAGTCCCACTTTAGCTCCTGCTAAAAGGCCATTGCTTCCGGGTATAGGCCCCTGTGTTGACGTGGAAGATGTTGCATCGAAAGAGCTTGTCGCTGTGGCAGTAGCGGTGGCGGGTCCAGGTTCAGGGTCATTGATATTCCAACCAAGCACAGGAACCGCATGTGCAGTCATAGGGTGTTCAAATTTGGTCTTCACCCTGGTCTCTCCTGTGCCATCATGTGTCATGTAGGTAACTGGAGTTCTTCTCTGAATGGCAGATGTGCAATCGGGAATATAATCCATAGAACCCATAGGAGCCACTGCATTTAAGGTGTATTCTCTTCAACCTAAGTCAGCACTGGGTATATAAGTGGCAAGGACTTCACATACGGTGGACAATAAGCGGACAATGTACGAGACTGGTATTTAACAACGGTAGATGCAACAGGAACGTTGGTAGGGCTAGCCAAAGGGCCAATCCAGGACTCAGTTGCGCGAAATCTTATAGCAAGCCAATGGTCATATCCGTCATACCACTGTTCATATTGCGGTGGCGCACATGGAAGGGCGGTGGGCACATCAGGACTACCTGTTGGGTAAAACTCCCACAGATAGCCGCCATGCCATTGAAGGATGTTAGAGCAATTAGGATTCCAGCCCCAGGGCGTGGTTAGTGGTAAATATGATGTGGCGGTACCGGCATTGGTTTCGGGTAAATATGAAGCCACCGACATTGGTCAAGAGCGAAATAGCTACCACAAGAAGACGTTCAAAGGAAAGAAAGGGAGTAAAAGAGATGAGAAAAGAAATGGTTGGAACAGGATGCAAAGTACAGTTCTTGAGAAAGTTCAGAGTCTGATCAGAACATAAGCAGATCTTTATACCCTCTTCCAAATCGGAAGGTAGGCAATGTTGTTCCTACTCAAGCGAGACAGGGGCACGTATAGCGAGCGTGGGGTCGCCGAAAAGATTGCGTTGGATCGCTTAGGCTGGCCTGGCTTCCAGTGATCTTCTGGTACTTTCCCAGATGCAACAGCGGGTACCTACAGAGAACACCACTTCAGAGAGTCGCCATGAGACACATATCCCCACAGTTATACTCTTCAGGCAGCTCACAGGCAATGGCATGCGACACCATGGCAGCTTCTGTGTCAGCAGGCTTGAAGATAGTGAGTATGATGATAACCCCATCATTAAGAGCAAAAGCATAAGGATCTTCCTTCGTTGGGGTTTGGATAGGTTTTGGGCCACCCGGGAAGATGCATTAAACCCCCAAGCCACGAATCCTATGGTTCCAACCCAGCTGCTTATCATTGGCTGACCTCAAGCACCTGGATAAGCGTCATGTTCCTACCATCTAGGCGAATCGGTTTCACTGTCACTGGGCAATGCTGATAATTATCCGCGTTTCTAGAATTCTGTATATCTTGGTCGAGCACCATTCATCTCCTTTTGTGCATCCTTGGGCCTTCTATAGGCCAGGTCTCTTATACTGCAGCAAAAGAGAGAGAACACCTCGTGACAACCTTCCGCCATCAAATTAGGGCGTGTTTGAAGATGTCTTTCTCCGTTAGCCGATCTGGTAGTGTATTCAGTCATCTTTTGGGGGCTCTAAAATATAGCAAACCCCAGCGAAGATGGCTTGTGCCATTGGGCATCAACCCTAAGGCACATCTGGAGGCTTACACCGCGAAATATCTGTCTCTCATTTCATTTACCACAATGATTCAGCAGTTGAAACAACCCCGACTAAAGTTTCGGTACAGGCGCAATACCCTTCATGGCCAGTGGGGATGCCTGTGAGAAACACACCTAGCGTGAAGTCATTAAACATCGATTCACTCCATAAGATGCCATACTCACAATATGGGAATTTTGACCTTGTAGGGCCAGCAACCCTACGGGCTCCGATATGAGTACATACCTAGTACTATCAGACGATATGTGGTGTGAGCGTTTCTAGCGACTGAATCATGTCCCTAGGTTTTCCCCGGTTTTCCTTTTTTGTATTATTGGCGCGCAGTGCACAAGAGATCGACAGCTGAGGGAAATTCCAGGGTTTGGATCGTTTTCCTTTCTTCTGTGGCTTCTAGAACGAAGCAAGACATATACGAGGCAGCGAGGGAAATATTTGGAAGACCGATCCATTATAAAAAGTAATACAATCTCGGGATAGACACCAAACCTATCGCTTAGTCAAGCCAAGGCTCCCCCTATGCTTTGAATTCGGATATTGCTCTTGCCGATATAGTAAGCCTCATCAGCATCGGCTATGTGTCCACATGTCCGTGTGTACCGGTATAGGTAGCGCCTACTCTGTGCATTTTCCAGCGGGGGACCAGATTGCGAGGTGCTACATCCTTGTGAGGTCAGGTTTTGGAGAGGGTTATCGTAAAACGATCAGTATCGTAGTCCCTTGTGGTATTCTTATATGTGCATACTCCTCCTCTCCCTAGAAATTGCCAAGGAATCTTGAATCGTACTAAGGGAAAATAGCGACTCGATGGTGAAAGATAGCAAACCTCTCTCCCTCTCTCTTTTTTCTTTTTTTTTTTTGCCCTCTTTCTAATAATAGTCGGATAGAGACCGCTGTTGGCGTCGTTTGAAAATGAACCACGACGGGGAAATGGCTCTGGAACATGTACGATCGCAGACGTCGGTCTAGAAATGGTCGGTCACTTGGTGGTCATCGTCTTCATTGGAAGTTGTTCTCATTGCCACCGTAAAAAGGGATCCACTGTCAGTGTCCATCCCAGAAGATCCACTCGGGGGTTGCGTGGAGGCCAAAGCCGGTTTTGATAGGGCTATCCTTGTCAGCAGTTCTTTGTCTGCTTGGCACTTGAATTTGGTTTTGCTTGTGGGAGGCCTGGGAAATGAGGCCATGAGCGACAGCCACAACCCCCGCTAGCCCGTTCGGGATGGCTGATCACGATTCCAAGTTCCATTTGTTTTCCCTGCTGAGCAACACCATCACGACGACCGAGTCCTATGCTGTGCAACTACGACCACCATCTTTCTTTTCTCTTCCCTTCTAACAACAACTGCGACTATAATAACCTTTTTCTATCTCGCACAACTCCCCACCATCCTTCCCTGAATCCTCTTCTTCCAATGACCTATCGGCCGGCGACTTAGCCAGGCGGAGACGGACGGATACTCTCGGTGGGTCCGCGGCGCCAAAATTCTCATGCGAGAGACTGACACTTTGCAGAAAATGCGGTCCACTTTTTGACATTCACTCGCAGACGGGGATTATCGTCCAATCCGCTCGGGTTGATTCTTCTCGCGATGAGATCATGGCACTTTTCCCACTTGCTGCCTCCCTCTAGAATGAATGGTTTGACGACTATCACAAAATGGCTCTCCACCTCCTCGGCTCATCACGGTCGATCTCCTCTCGCCTTCCACTCTTTTTTCTCCCGTCTCTTCGTCGTGGCCGTCTTCTTCTTTCCCCCTTCCAAACTATGTTTTGCGTTCTAGACTCAACTTATTTTTGGTTCGCCCCCGTCCAAGGCCGCGAAATCTCTCCACCCACGTTTCCACGCTGTTAATGCCATTGTCGGTGCCATTTATCTGGAAACTTTCACTCTTGCGTTCCTGAACGTCTATCGGCTCCTTCGTCCTCGTCCTGTCTTCTACAATTGTCCTTCACTGCCTCTCACTGCCTCTCGTTATTATCCACCGCCGACGACATTCGCTCTACATCCTGCATACTATCCGCCTACGGCTTCTCTTATTCTTTTATTATCGTTTCTTTTGCCTCTCTTTTCTTGACTTTCGCTAAAGCTTTGGGCTTGAGAGCAGCTGGACTGCCCAACCAACCAATGTCGCATTCCCGTGAGAGCAGCGGTTCTTACGAATGGCTGAACCCCCAAGCCAACCCAGAACAAACCGATTCAGCAGTCCATCGTCATGATCATGTCGACGAGCAGCCTTCCCCTCCTAGCCCCGAGCTACGCCCCGACGATGCACTGAACGAGCATGCTCGCCCTCAACGAGTGAGGTTTCAGTCTACCAGTGCTCAAGGATCGGAAGCCCCTCCACCCATTCGTCCCTCAATGGCTCGTTTCGACTCAGATCAAACTCTCATGTCAGTCCACTCCATCAATCCCACTTCCGCCCGTTCGACCGACCTGTCCGACGCCCTCCGCGCAGAGGCGGAAGCAGAACCCACTACATCGTCAAAAGGCCAAGATGGCAGCACGAGCCCCGCGGGAGTCCCCCTCGACTACGATACCGAAAGATCAAGGTTCAGCAATGACGTTCCCAATCGCTCCCCGTCCGTCGCAGCACGGTTGAAGGCTGCTAGCAAACTAATCCGTCAGAAGACAGTCCGGTTGGGCGAACGGCTCGGCCGACCTCAGGATGGTGGTGAGGATCTCGGAGCATCTCTTTTGCCGGACGACCTTGAGGGCGGCGTTCCATATCATGAAATCCAAGAGAGGAGAAAGCCCACAACCGAAACCCCGGAGGAGGAGAAGGATTTTGCTCCGAGCGCAGAGGCACATCGCCTTGTGCGCCGAGTAACTCAGTCGCAAAATGCCTTGCGTCAGCGCAAGCCTAAATCGGCTTACACGCGGTCGGGGCAAACCACCCCGGAGGGTTTGGGCCGCCCTGAATCATGGTATAGCTCCAGATCTCGATCTTTTAGCGGTGGAGGCATCTTGTCCCAACTCCTCAAGTTGCAAGCCGGTCAAACGGGTTCAACAGAGAGCGTCATTACCGACTCATCCGACAGTGAGTCGCAGGTTTCGTCGGGGGCCGCAACACCAAAATCCGGGGCCGCAACTCCCAAGCGGGAAAAGCTGAAGTGGTACAAGAAACCAAACCATCAGTCGACAGCTTCTCTGGTAGAAGCCTCGATGAACCTGAGCCGTGCCAGCCTTCCCGCTTCAGCCGACCCTCTTGCGTTTGCTACCCCGAAGACACGTAAGAAGAAGGCCTATCGCAAGACCCGCTTGGAAGACGAGATTCGTGTCACAGTGCATATCGCAGAGATCCTTGCCCGGCAGCGTTATATCATGCAGTTATGTCGTGCATTAATGCGTTACGGCGCGCCCACTCATCGTTTAGAAGAGTATATGAAAATGACGGCGCGTGTGCTGGAGGTCGAAGGCCAATTTTTGTATCTCCCGGGGTGCATGATCATGTCCTTCGATGATCCCACCACCCGCACGGCCGAGGTCAAGCTCGTCCGCATGGTTCAGGGCGTGGATTTAGGTCGCCTAGCGGAGACTCACAACGTGTATAAGAACGTTGTCCACGACCTTGTAGGAGTTGAGGAAGCTAGTCAGGAGCTTGACAGCATCATGCAACGCTCTCCGCGCTTTAACAAATGGCTCTTGGTCCCTGCATATGGGCTGGCTAGTGTCGCTGTGGGTCCGTTTGCATTTGATGCCCGACCGATTGATATGCCTATCTGTTTCTTTCTGGGGTCCCTTGTCGGGTTTATGCAACATATCCTGGCGCCCAGGTCTGTGCTGTATTCCAACGTGTTCGAGGTATCGGCGGCCGTGTTGACGTCCTTCCTTGCACGTGCATTCGGCTCCATTAAGTCTCCCATCGAGGGCGAAGAGTACCTTTTCTGTTTCTCGGCCCTCGCCCAATCCTCGATCGCTCTCATTCTTCCTGGTTTCATGGTGCTGTGCAGCAGTCTGGAACTGCAGTCCCACCAGATGATTGCGGGGTCGATCCGTATGGTCTACGCTATTATTTATTCACTCTTCCTTGGTTATGGAATCACGGTTGGCACGACCATCTACGGACTTATCGACGGCAATGCCAACTCTAACACGACGTGCCCGCAGCTGGACGTGTGGGGCAGCGAGTACATTCAGCATTTTATTTTTGTGCCGGTCTATGTCGTCTTCCTAGCCATCATCAATCAAGCCAAGTGGAAGCAGGTGCCGACAATGATTATCATTGCGATCAGTGGCTACGTTACCAATTACTTTAGCACTAAGAAGCTGGGCTCCAATTCGGAAGTCGCCAACACGGTGGGTGCGTTCACGGTCGGGCTCCTTGGCAACTTGTACAGTCGACTCTGGCATGGCCATGCCGCCACCGCCATCCTTCCGGGGATCTTTGTGCTCGTTCCATCCGGCTTGGCCTCGAGTGGCTCGTTGATGGCCGGTATTACGTACGCCAACGAAGTACGAGAAAATCTGGCCAATTCAAACAGCAGTGACAGCCTCAACAGTGCTAGTCAGGATACATCGATCGCCAGCTTGGGATTCGGTATGATTCAGGTCGCCATTGGTATCACTGTCGGCCTGTTCATTGCTGCTCTGGTCGTTTACCCCTTTGGAAAACGACGCAGTGGTCTTTTCAGTTTCTAATCTTCCGGTATACATTTTGCATTTGTTGTTTTTCCAGCGTGTACGATTTACGTTTGGGATAGAATGGCCCTTTTTTGTTTCTTCACTTTTGTTTTGTATATTGGCATACCGTTCATACTTGGTCCGTCATGTTTTAGCCCGCCGCCATATATAGATTGTGTATACATTTTGAGCGACAATGCCATTGCTTTTCTAGCCATGACATACTGCACCCGTACTGTATATCTCTCACACCTTACAAAGCAATTCCCCTGATAAGTCAATTGTCTTGTGGGAATCATCTGCGTGCCTTTGTGGAGGGGTTCGACGTGCACCCTACCAACTGTCGTTGGCATACTTGGTCCGGGTAGACCCGACCACTATATATAACGGGATTATTCTATGAAGATATTAGAAGAAATCCACCAAGTCTAGCGAGCCTAGAAAGGGCAGAGTCTACGATGTGGAGCCGTCTTATACATAGTAATAAATGAAAAATATTGAATGGATCTATAGCACCTCGAGGCATGCATGGTATACCATCCCTCACTGAAAAGGATCTTGGATGAGGACGGAAATAGCAACAGGATTTGCTTTATAATGGCAGAGAAGCTGCAGCTCAACATCGAATTGGGGATGTGGTTTAGTGGTATAATGTTCGCTTAGCATGTGAAAGGTCCGGGGTTCAATTCCCCGCATCTCCATCTTTTTTTGATTTGGGATCTGTTTTTCCCCCCGTCAAATTCTGTTATGCAGAACAAAGGATTAGGGCAACAACAGCACGTGCGACAACAACTATCAACGCATTCCATATACATTGTCGTCCCTGCCTGGTAGCTCGTGCTAAGCACTCGTCTTTCCGTCATAACCAACTTGTACCCCAAACTCCCTCCTCCGGTGAATTATGAGACGGCTGGATTCGACCGTCTAACTGGTCGAGAACGTCGCAGCGACCGGAGGGTTCGGTGACCTTAGTGATCCCTTCGATCCAACTAAGCATTTAGTTTGGAGCTCAACTTGCCTCATGTGTCTCGACCAGCAGGAGACACGGCTCAGGATGTGACTCTAAGACACGGAGGTGCTGCGAGCCAAGAAACGCCGCATGGCCTGACACGAGCATAACCTCGGAAGTTCTCCAGGTCAACCATTCAGCCTAAAGCGGGCAATCTCAACGAAATGCAGTGTCTTAACTTGCAGCAAGCTACAGGAAAGCTCTTTTCCCCACCCTTGCCCAAACTCTAAAGCAGGCCGATCCCCCCGGTCATGCTCCGAGTCTATGCCTCAAGATGGGAAAGCATGGCGTTGGAGTCCGGGGTCCGCGTGGGGGACTCCAGACGCGGATTGGTCGAAGCTGCGTTGAGACGATCGAACATTCCTCAACCCCAGCTTTTGGGTTCGCTCGTTCCCCGGATGAGATCATCCTGCGCAGGCAGAGTCACCCCCACGTCGGTTTGTCCCGTTGCTGTGCTGGTCCTACCCCAGGATTTGGGTGGAGCGAGTTGGGCATGATGGCCCTTGCGACCGTGTCATCCTACGAAGAGTCTCTCTCCCTTGTGGGTGGGTTGCTTATATAGCGTTGGCTGGACCCTGGGGTCGGATCCATCTTTATTCCCTACATCGCTTCGTCCCGAGCGGATTTATCATTGCTGCTGTGTTGTCGGCTGAACCTCTCTCATCATGGACGACGGCAGGATCACCGATCATGAAGTGATGGGCGAGAAGGCAGATATCACCCACGAGGAGGTGGTCCAGGTGTCCCAGTTGACGCCCGAGGAGCAAGCCATCGAGAAGAAACTGCGGAGGCGCATTGATTCTTTAATCATGCCGCTGGTCATTCTCGTGTATCTGATGAATTATATTGATCGGTAGGTGAAGCGATCTTTGTGGAGCGCTACGGAGTGGAAATGAGGGTAGACTAACCCAGAGCGACAGGAATAATTACGCCGCCGCCAAGTTACAAGGTCTCATGGAAGACTTGCACATCAATGATCAACAGTACCAGACCGGCCTGTCCATTCTCTTCGTTGGTTACATCCTGATGCAAGTCCCGTCGAATCTCCTTCTGAACTACATGGGCCGACCGTCGCTCTATCTCGGCTTTTTCACCACGGCCTGGGGCCTGGTGTCGACGTTGACCAGCCAAGTCACGAGCTACGGGGGCATCGTCGCGTGTCGGTTTATCTTAGGGCTGGTGGAGGCTCCGTTCTTCGCCGGCGTGCTGTTCTACCTCTCCAAGTGGTATACGAAGAAAGAGTTGGCCCTGCGCATGAGTATCTTCTACTCGGGCTCGCTGCTCAGTGGGGCCTTTGGTAACCTCATCGCCGCCGGCATCCTGAACGGTCTGCAGGGCCATCGGGGGATTTCCGCCTGGCAGTGGTTATACATCATCGAGGGCGCCATCACCATGGCCGTGGGCTTGGCCGTGGCGGTGTTACTCCCCGACTTCCCCGATACCTGGAAGCTGTTGTCGCCGGAGATGAAGCATGTGGCCAATCGCCGCCTCGCCATCGACGCAGCGGAGGCGGACGTCGACGAAGCCGGCAAGATGAGCCAGGTCAAGGGTCTGAAGCTAGCCTTCACGGACATCAAGACCTACGCGCTCGCCCTCGCTTACATGGCCATCACCGGTGCCAGTGGCTTCCAGAACTTCTTCCCGACGCTGACCAGGACGCTGAACTTCAACGAGACCATCTCGCTGCTGCTAGTGGCGCCGCCCTACATCTTCATGGTGGCGTACAGTCTCGCCCACTCCTACCTGTCGGACCGGTTCGGCAGCCGGTTCTGGTTCTTCGTCTACCCCATCCCCATCACGATTGTCGGCTTCGTCGTCTTCATGACCACCGACGGCTTCGGGCCGCGCTACTTCTCCTTCTTCCTCATGATCTTCGTCTTCGCCCAGAACGGCACCGTCTACTCCTGGATCGCCAACTCCATCCCGCGCCCGCCGGCTAAACGCGCCGCCGCGTACGCCTTCATCAACTCGGTCGGCAACTCGGCCAGCATCTGGACCCCGTATACCTACCGCGACACGGATTATCCTTACTACCGCCCAGCGATGGGGACGTGCATCGGCCTGCAGGTCTTGGGGCTGGCTATGGCGGTCCTGATGTATTTCCACCTGCGGAGCTTGAACAAGCGGCTGGACCGGTTGGAGGACGAGGAGGTGACGTTGACGCCGAAGGAACTCGAACGGTTACAGAAGACGGCGGAGATGGAGGGCATCAATATTGCAGCGGCGCGGCGGTTGCAAAAGGGGTTCCGATATATGATCTAATGTGGGGTTGGGGATTGTGTTCATGTGTAGCCAGACAGGTTCCTGTTTCCTAAGAATACAATTTTTCTGAGTTAATGAACCGTACATGGGGCGTGACGCGTATTAAGAAAAAAGACAATGATGTCAAAGCTGATCGGGATCAAAAAAGATCATGGATGCCAGTCGACCCGCTGCGTGCGGTGCAATCAACACGCATTGAACCGGACGCTCATATGCCGTCATCCTACAGGGAAGAGCATGACCGAATGTATGATTGCAACCGTCCAAGCCGCATGGGATTCCACCATCTGAGGGATCAATTTTGGAGGTTTCTGTCTTATGGTATGACCAGTTGGGCCCATAATCGGGTTGTCGATCACAGCAAACAAACAGAAGCGATGTGGAAACTTCCCTGCTGTCAATCAAGCCATACACAGTTGTTTCAGGAGACCCATTTCACTGGATACGGGGATATGAGCTGTTTGAATGAGGGCCTGTGGGACTCTATCCACATTCACCCTTCGTTGATTTGATCGATGGGCCCAAGTCGTGGGACCGACCGAGACGTGGTACTGTGTGCAGAGTGATGCTGGACACACGCCACAGCCGTGGCGGGTGTCGTAGCTGGTGTTTATTCGCGAATAGGCAACCTAGAAGGCTGCATTCCCCCCGGTAGCCGATGATATCATTGCACATGAAGGCATCCCTTGCGTGCTGTGTGAGAGGTCTTCTCTTGAGGGGTGGAACAGAGCACTCCGATGATGCGGAGGAGGGGAAACCCGGGGAAAGGATGATCGACTACGATCGATGATTCGTCGGAGAGGCCACGGAAGACTCTGGTCCGGCATCTTTCTGACGCCAGCTGCGGCGATCCCGATCCATGGCCAGGGCTTCATACTGCGCCGGATTGGGCCACACGCAGGGTCACGTGAGCCATCGCAACGAACGGAGCATCGAGTATATAAACCCCCTGGTCCGGACATCTCGAACGGGCATTATATATCCGAAAGATTACCGTCCGAGAGACCGTTCATACTACATTATCTCTGCCTGGTTTAATTGAGTTCAGCCGACCTCTATCGGGATTGTTTCACTATGTCGTCCACCCTCATCCAAGCGTCGCGCCCCCTCGCCCGTGCCCTCACTCAGTCGAACACCATGCGTCCTTTCTCGATTGCCATTCCCGCTAGACTTGCCAACGAGTGGATGCACATGCCCAAGCCGCGTGGGTTCCTCGCGGAGTACGTTCTGTCCCCTTTCTCCTGACCCTAATCGAGGTGGTTGACGTCGGGAATGACGTCAGTGACACCGGAAGAGACATTCCTCAGCATGGAATGGAATGTTGAAGTGTTGGATCCATGGTATGAACTCGAGACTAACCGAGTGGGCCGCAATAGGAAGGATACGACCCCTCGTCAAGAGACCTCCTACGGCAGAAGGATGGAGCTCAACTCCTTCCGACGGGTGCAGCAGCAGATGTCGGAACATGGCCAACGTCTCGACCAGCTGGAAAAGTCGATGTAAGGCTGCTTCTCGTCGCGGTTCATCTAACAATCTTCTTTTTACTGACTCGATATTTCTAGCCAGCAGTTGACTCGCATGCAGGGCGTTTATTAAGACCTGCTAGAAGGCTGGTCGTCCCAACTCAGAAACCTGGATTTTCCTTACACACCCAACATACCTTTCACACGGCCATCCTCTAGATTGAGTCATGGAGGCTGTTATACCGTCAAATGGTCCATCGGAGAATGTCTTCTCTCGTCCAAGTGGCCGCCCATTTACCCCCACCCGATTTGTCGAGCAGGACCTGATAGCGCGGAGGGGAATCATCTGGCATGAGAAATTGTATATACTACTGTGCACGTATTATGGAATGATATCAATGAGTTTTGTTGCTTGACTTGAATCTATCTGTACTTTGTGCAATCAAAGTTCAGCGACTTGCTTGCTGGATAATCACAAATCAATCCTATGTCTGCTTGATCAGACAGGAACAACGGGGCGCCAAGTTGGTGCCACCAATTGATACAGTGATAACAACCTCATCCACATACCTACATACTCCATGCGCGTAGGATGAAACTGAACTACGGATAATGACCACTTAGGGCAGCTACCCATTAGCAGGAATGACGGCAAAAAACGCCAGAAACTAAAACGCAAGAACAACAGCGTTGCGCATCACGAACATCCGATTTGCAAACCAGCCACTGGCGGTGAAAATAATGGTATCCCTGAACCTGTATGTCTTCCATACATACGATTGACCACATGGTAATGGTTCAGGCTGTGCAAAACCTTCACGGTCCGACCCGCTGTCTCAAGCCTCTTGACCAGATCAAAGCTCTGCCGGAAGCCCAGAACGGTGACTCACTAATGTCTCGAACGTAAGTACTGGCCTCGTAAGCAATCGCGCCACGTTCTTCGACATGTCATCGCGTGCAGTCTTGGCTTCCAGCAGATGAAGGTGTGGCTATCCGTTGGGCTTGCTGCAGCCTTACGAACCTAATGGAATGTCTCACCTGGAGAATTGTTCTAGAAGCTGTTTGATCCTTGGAAGGATTTGTGGCTGAGCTGATTCGTGGAACTTAACTTATGACGGTGCAATGTAGGGGAGCATTGCCGCTGTTACAGTTTCTGGGGCGAGGCAAGTACAACGAACGATACTAGCATTACTAAATATTGGAATGTCCCTGGATAGGGGAACAAGTGCTGTTACTGGGTTTCGGCGCCCTAGATATGATTCGATCCAACTCTGAGGTAAACCCTAAACCCCGATCATATGCGGTGTATCGGATTTATCTCCAAGGCCAGCTTCGAATGCGACATGCTACACATGCCACATAGAGTTCCCATGATGAAATCTCATCACACATTATATATCCAGTTTCTCATTATTATAATCCTGGGCGTTAACCTATCGGGCTTCCCACCATGCCTCACATCTGGTTCATTACCGGTTGCTCCTCCGCCGTCAGTTGACTATCCCAGCTACGTAAAACGGCGACAAGGTCGCGGGCAACATCTCGCCAGCCGTCCAAGTTGGACGACCTGGGAGAACACGGCATTATGGCTACTAAGCTCGAAGTTCGCCATGAACTCCAATTCCAAGTTGTCACCGACAATGTCCAGCCCACCATCGGTCTGATTGACATCCTCGTCAGCAACGTCGGGTATACCATCGAAGGGACCATGGAGGAATGTAGGTAACTCTAGTCACGTATATTCTTACTTATAGACCATATGAACAGAAAACAAGAGTCGGAGCATCAGTACTTGAGTGATGGGTCTTACTAATAGATCCCTGCTAACTAAATCGACGAGCGGCTATTTACCAAGTTACAACCCGTTGTGCGTCTCATGTTCCGCGAAACGGCTTCGCTTCCTCAGTGTGGCCCCGAACCAAAATAAGGCAAAGATCCCAAAAACACATACCACCGTCAACGCCCCAATCAGACTCGCACCTTTAGCAATACCGAGGTTAACATAGAGCGGGGTCGACCAAAGAATGGACGCAAAGGCGAGAATAGACCGCGCAAAGTCATTCATGGCGAAGAGGCTCGCAGCGTATCGTCCATACGAGACTGACATGTAGGCGAACATCGACTGGAGAAGAGTGGGCATGCCTATCATGAAAAGCAGGAACCCTATGGTGGGTACAATCCAGTGAAACTCTGGGCTTGAAGTCCATGCAAATAGAAACATCCCTGCTGGTACAACTAGTGAGCCAGCAAGCCCGGGTATGAGCCTCTGTTCGGGCGAAGGCATTTTGCCGGCTTTGAATGGACGGCTGATGGTAATATAAGTAATTGCTAGGTAGAATGGTGTGGTAATTAACACGGCTACTATAGCAGTTAGAAATATTGCTCCGGTTTGTAACAAGCTCATCGCGTATACACCTTGGTATACCAGAGGCACCGCTTCGAAGAAGGAATAGAAAATGGCATACACCAATGCGGTGTAGAGTGTCGTAAACAGGATAGCGGGGTCGAAGGCGTTTATCTTCCATGGAATGATGAGAAAGTCATACAATGTCTCTTGGGACAACTCCGCGTGGTTTATTTCGGAACTGGATTTGAACGCTTCATTGCCGGTCAAAGCTTGTAGCCGTCTGGAACGTTGATATAGAATGGCCGGGCTTGATGTCTCTGGCAGAAATATCTAATGGAATGTTAAATCGGATTCAATGTACAAGTTCACCAAACCTGGTGGAGAAGACAATAAACGAACCAGAAGCAAGAAGCATGGTGCGGCAAACCAAACGATTAACCACATACTCCACTGCCACCCTTTTGACGTGACACATAAACTTGCCAGGGTTGGAGCCACAGTGGGAGCAGACACAGCACATATACCCCAGATCCATAACCCGCTCGGTAGCTTAACAAGATTTGTGATGTCTGCGAAGGACGCCGGGCCCGTTGCCAGACACGGCGACCCGAAGAATCCTTGTGCAAAGCGTAGAAAGAGAAACCCAGGGACGCTGTTGACAACGGCCGCAAGGATACTGACTACCAAAAAAACTGTAAACGAAATCACGTAGGGCGGGTTGCGGCCTATCGACGGTTTGTCTGATAAGGGCCCAAATAGCAAGGGTCCTATCCCATAACCCAGAAGAACCAGAGCCATGCCAAGTGAGCCCACCGATGAGGGCACACCATACTCGGCCTGGAATTCCACTTCTGCTGGGGTAAAGGCCGCGGATGACATGTAGACGACGAAAGTGTAAAAGTTTATCTGAATATACACCATGACCTTGGCCCAGCGAGGCCAATTGTGCGGATTTCCTGGGTCATCATCAGAATACCAACCCACAAGTACCATGCCATCAGTAGTAGTTTCCGGAACGAGCCATTTTGAAGGATGTTCTTTATCAGAAGATTCACATTCTGCGTCACACGTGTCCGATTCCACGTTTCCAACGACGCTGGAGGTATGAGAGTCAGCCTTTTGCTTCTTGTACTCTGCGACAAGTACGTGGGAATCAAGTCAAAAGAAAAGCTGACCTAGCGGCTGTTGAATATGTCGGAGACAAACAAAATCCAGGCTCCTCTTCTGGAAATCTCAAGAACTGGCCACTAGAAAGCCAGTGGATCAATTTTCCTAAAGAAGTACTGCAGAGTATGCCCGCCATGGTGCGAAATTTACATTAGTTGTGTGTTTTCCCCGATATTATGAGCTCAACCTGGTAGTTGAGCGCGATGGCGATAAGAAAGCGTCCAGAAAGATAGTCTGAGACGAGAGACTGCCACCAAGTGGATGCAAACCTGTAGATGAAGGGAACGAGAGAGATCTTGATCGACACTTCCTGATTATTATATTATGGTGCTAATCCTTGCTACACCACTTTATCTGCCCCACTCCCATACGTTGCTTTTTAATCTCCGAAACAAAAGTACTTGCATTTTCCTCCAATAGCACGCTCTAATATGCATGATGCCTGATACTTCGTCTCTTTCTGGGAATGAGTAACTATCGAAGAGTGGTATCCATGGGTTTCTAGTTTCACATGGCCTAGATTTCTACCATTTTAGTCAAGTCCCTTTGAACGCGATCGAATATTGATTCGCATGTGCTTTTGAGCTTATCTTGAATAAAGACCGCTTTGACAATAGTGCACGGTGCAAAAATATCAGAATTAAATCAAAACCTCCTACACTACGCTATAAGCCTCGTTATATGGATCTTCCGCTGTCTTGGTCAGCTGAAAGGGCGGGCTGATAATCGGGGAGAAATCTCGACCGATCTTTGGAGCTGAATTAGGGCATCGCCCATTTGGGACAAGCCACGTTGAATATTCTCAGCTCATTTGGACGCTTGCGCCAAAATAAAGCGATCTTCATATTTCAAATGCACGAGCACAGATAATTAACCAATAAGTGGCCCACCCACCCGCGTTAGCACTGTATGTGACAAATAACTAGCGGGTAGTAGATCTCATCAAGGCGGCGGTATGGCAGGAGACACGCCAGTAGCGATCCCACGTCCGGGGTGGTCCCTGCTGCCCCGTGGGATCTAGCCTCGCAATGTAAGATCGATGAGTGATTTTGATCAGAACCCAAGGAACTATTGCTTTGCTATCTGCACAACCCCCTTGCACTCGACCCAACTATTAGTTGCCAAGAAATGTGGCGTCTGTGTTTTTCCCTGGCGTCGAGAAACATTCATAACTTTATTATAGGGTTCGTTCGTTGCATCGACAATTCCTACGGCGGTTGGGATCATTCCACGTAGAGACTCTCGGTGAGTGTGAAGGAAGGTATACTGGGGAGATCAAGAGCTCGAATCGACCAGTGAGCAGAGCAATACGATCAAGCCCATTTACATGCGCGCTTCTTGCAGAATGCATCCGCTGCAATATGCAAGGATCAACGGCCACCGCAAGATCTTTGAACTCACCTGATAATTCTGTTGAGCATGCATGCAAGTTGCTAGTCTTGAATATAGCAGCACAAGGTCTGACGTGTCCCATGGTTTAAGGCCTGCTTTTCTCGTTTTCGAGATCCAGACTATGCCCTCGCTAGTTCACTCAGGCAAGATATATCAAGCGATTGCGGAAAGTGCCCGCCACGCTGTTAATAAGCGACAAGTGGAACGCAGAGTCTCTAGATCATAGAGAACAGGGTTATTGTTTCTTATATTTTTTAGGACAATATCATTCATCGATTGCGAGCTGTTTATGTTCATTTTAAGGTTCTTGTCATAAGTCTCCGGATTGTTTTCAGCGCCGAGAGGTGGGATTAAAAGAATGTCCCTATGTCCCCGTAGCATCGAGTTTGATATGGAAAGAGATTTCTCTGAAATTATTTGAATTGTTTGGAATGCATACCCGATATTGGAGTCTATTCTCATTCGAGTTAGTATAACACTAACATATATTTACCAGCTTGAACGCTCTCAAACCCATTTGTCGCACGCCTGGCAGTATGCTGATCTTCCATTGAGAAACATCTGTCATGTTCGGACCTCGCATAATCTCGGTGAATTCCCCACAATCTGTATGATATCAACAGGGAGTAATTGATTTTTCCTGAAAGGCCTGCACTCATCCTGTTGCCGGAGCAAAGGACACATTGCTATCAGCATATACTCCCTTGCCAACCTCCGTTAACACGACCCATCTTGCTCTTTCACCAGCCTCTTTGGGCTGGATACCGTGCGCACAGCCATAATATTCCAGGACTGTATCTTCATGGAGAACGGGTTCAAGAACACCATTGTTTTTGATTTGACACATCTCGTCCTGCATAGAGTGTTCTTCGGTGATTGGCCCTCCATTCTGTCGTTATCCCTCAGAGCCCAGCATCTTATTGCCCTAGGGGTCAATTCAAAGCAGGGCCCACTCCACTTTGAGCCATTGAAGTGATAAGACTAGACAAGCGAAAGCCGATAAATTCATTTTTTTTCTTGACGAAAGAATCTAACTAGAAACAGCGCGTAGAGAAATGAGCTCTTTTATATAGGATTTCTCAGACAAAGTAACTTCACCGGCAAAAAACAAGTCATCGACAAAAAATTAGTGCCATGCACTGCGGCGCAGTGAAGTTGCGCAAGGGTGACTTCGTCGGCAATGCAACAATCAGGCTCCAGAGTGCCGGGCCTGCGAGATCACGGTAGATTCCCTGTAGTTGCTGTCATTCTGTGGGATCCTCATGGTCCTACAGAGCTGCCCGCACTTATCACTGAGTAGACGGTTTAAGAAAACGATGTCATGATAAGCACGCTTTTACGATTCTCAGGATATTTAATGGGATCTTGGTAAAACTAAGTTTTCAGCATACTATCATTCTACTATCTGTATAATTAAAACCAGAGGTAAAGTATGGACTTTTGTCCAGGCCCCCAGAGCATTGCAGTCGATTTGCCGTTTCTGGTGAGCATGCATATTTCTCTATTGCGATCCATTTCCCTTTTCTTTCCCGCTTGATAAACACACTAATGCATTGCAACGTGCAAGAGATTCACAATTTCCGGGCAAACCCTGAAGATTGACACTGCAGCTCACACCATCGCTAGCCTGAAGAAGTCACAGTAAAGATCAAAGTTTCTGCTTTTTCTTGAAGAAAAAGCCAGTAAAGACGAGCCTGAAATTTCTTCACCTCGGCTATCTTCCAAAGTATTTACATGCTACTGCAATGTGATACTGCCGGGTAAGACTCGTCTGACGCATTAGGATGTTCTTCAGCTTGAGATATGGCTAAAACATGGCCACAGCTCCGATGGTGAATGGCTGGATTTTAGTTCGATCCATAGCCCCAAACTAACTGAGCCAGGCTAAAGATAGGGTCAAATCCGTCCCAATCATTTGGGCAACAGGCGGTGGTCGGAGGCGTAGAGAAGACCGGGCCAACTTCCAGGTATCGTGACATGAAGCCGGAGAACTGATGCACTGGCAGGGATGTTCGGCGCGTTTTGGTCATACCTTAATGAGCCTGCTCGGCATTATTGGTGGAAGGACCAGAGGAAAGTGGGGATGCCGATCAGGCTTGCAGAGAAACGGAGACCAAATCCTGCCGAGTCAAGTAGCGTCCGGCGCTCTTCGGAGAGACTCCTCTCCCCACGCGGGGGAAACGTCCAACCGACAGCCCTATCTCAACTGCCGGAGATCGTTGGTACCCCTGGACGGGGGGGATATTGAGCCGCTTGGACAGTCGGTATGGGTTACCAGTCAATCCGGTCGATCGTCCGGAATGCTTGGCAGGAACCAGTTTCGGAGGAAACTGGACATGGCCCCGGACTTGGGTTGCCTTGTCCTTATACTACTGAATTTAGCAGTTGTATGTCGAGGATTTGGGATCAACTGCACTCGACGGGCAAATCCATCGTTGTCCGCATCCCGCCGGATTATCCGTATGCCGTGTTGACGCTCCTCTCGGACCTGATTTGCGTAGGTACGCGAATCGGACAACGCCGTCTAGATAGTAATCTCCAGCCTAGCTAAGGCGGCCATTTCGTTCGAATCACATCACTGTCGACAAGTCCTATCAACCTAAAGTGTCTAGTCACAGATAACATCATCGGATCTAACCTGTCACGGTTGGTACCATGTGTGGATTAACAGTTCCGGTACATCCCGCCGTGATCCGTACCACAGGAAGACGAAATCGATTTGTTCTGGCTCAATGCGTCAGGTACGGCTGTATGCAACCAATCGACGAGGGGCCAATCTGTTGGCAATGCCTCAAGCCTGTCGATCAACTCGTGACAAGAAACGCCCTATTCCTTGTGGAGAATTTGGACTTGGTGGCCGCATTGGTCTGATTATGTCTGGTATGTGGATCACGTACGTGAGTCTGTTTTACGTACATCATTCTGGTGCCATATGGTCCTGTTATTTGACCACATGGAGATGTCAATAACCTTCGTCAGGCACACAGAGATGGGCGGTCCAAGCCGATCTACACTAGACTCATCGTGACTAGCATAACCCGGGATGTCCAAAGACGACTAGGCAGCTCTCTCGCTGATCCTTTGCTTGTGTCTGCATGGACCCTGGACCCTCTATGGAAATTCTCCGGTTCTATTCTGTAGGGATTTGGTAGGATACTGGAGCAACCGAATAGCATTCGCCATATGGCAAGCAGGCCGGGCCACCTGAGGCTCAACCGAAGAAGAGTCCACTTGATTTGGACATTGCTAAGCGAGCCGTCTTTCTTCGTGTGCCACGGAATCTCGTAGAGCCCGACTTCGTTTACTGTATTATGCAACATAAGCTTCGCCTTCCTCGGCAAGATGTATTGTGTTTCAGACTTGGTATCCTTGAGTAATGGCAGCTTGAAGGATCAAGCTAAGAGAAGGTGGATCGCCAGCGTCATCCAGCCAATGTCTAGACAGATTTGTGAGGAATCCGCTGCAGTAGGTTTTGTGGGCGGCAGCCAAAGAATGCTTGTGGAAGCTTCAGGGGGCTGCCGTCTTGGATACTTTCTCGTCAGAATAACTGTCTGGCAGAAATTGCCTGGGGAGATAGGTGTTGGAGCCGCATCACTACGCTGCTTCTGCGGGTCTTTGCTATACCCCGGCAGACAGGTCACGGCAAAACGGCATGTAGAGCAACGGTTGCACCCTGGTAACTCGTGGTTGACCCGATGGTCAGTCACCCCAGTAGGTTCTAAATCAAAGAGAGCTATAATAGGGACATCTGATTGGTGTGCTGCAGGGCGTAGGGCCAGAACTCGGAGTTGCGCAGATGTCCATTCTCTTCCGTTCACTAATGCCGCCGCCGAGCCACGCGAGTAGGCTCAAGCTTATCGGCGCACGCCAGGGTGGACCAGAAGGCCCAGAAGGATGCGGAAGAAATAATTTCTGTCGTCTCGCAGTTCCCATTCGCTGCATGGCATGATCCCTGCCGGTTCTATATTAAAATCCTGCCATTTTCCTTTTTTGTCGCTCTAGCAGTCACCTCGACATACACATCGCCCCCGTGGGTGGGTACTAATTAGCACTCCAATACGAGACGCTACCACAAGAATTGGATTGAATCCTTCGTACTTTTTTTTTTCAATGCAGTCAGCAATTAAATAAATGCATAAACAATCGACCTTCACTCAGGATATAAACCGAAGCTTGTCTGCGATCAGCCTGGGTGCCTTGTATCTGGAAATCATCAACTATCAGCGCATAGTCAGACCGCGGGTTAAAATAGTCGGTGATCGCTCTAAACGAAAGGAAAACCAACCTAGCTCTGGTTCTTCCTTCTTATCTATCTATTCTTTTTTTGAGCTTGCATCGTACGGCATCACTTCCACGCGGAAGGGTTGTTCACCGCAACATGCCTCGTGCCCCACAGAAATGGACCCCCGAGGAGGACAAGCTCCTCTGCCGAGAAGTCCACAACCAATGTAAGTCATATCACACAAGTGTTCGGGACATACTGGGTCTAACTCTGTGCTGTCGGCCAGTATCCGAAGGACGAGTGAGAGACTGGCGATCAATAGCAGACAAGATTCCCGGTCGAACGAATAAAGATTGCCGCAAACGGTGGCACAATGTGCTTTCCGGCGGGTTGAACAAGGGATACTGGACGGAAGAAGAAGACAAGCTGTTGACACACGCGGTGCAAATACACGGAGAGACGTGAGGACCCTTTGCTGCTCGTCAGAGAAAGAACCCTACACTGACCGGTTACTGCGACAGATGGACGGTGGTTGCAGAGGTCGTCAAAACACGAAGCGCAGATCGTACGTTCCTTTGGATCCTCTTTGTGTCCGTGGTGCAATACTAATCGACGTTGCGTTCAGAATGTGCCAAGCGATGGAAGCAATGTCTTGATCCGCAACTAGACCGCAGTGAATGGACAGAGCTCGAGGTAGGTTTGCCGTTCCATGGAGAACCACTGAGCGCGAGATTAATATGCGCTGTGATAGAACCGACGATTGATGGAGGCATGTGCGGTCAAGGGACGGCGATGGAAGGAGATCCAGATGGAACATTTTCCTACCCGGTCAAGAAACTCAATCAAGAACCAGTCAGTATAAGCCTCGGAGGAGGGATGATGGGTAGGACCTGACGCTAATGAAATCGCACCGCGACCAGGCACACAATTCTTACCCGCCGATACAACAAACTAAAGAACTTGCGAGAAGCCCAGAATACCGCCAGCGCAGGGACTGGGCCCGAGGACTCAAGCTTATCGCCAAGCTCATGCGAGGACTCGGGAGACACTGTCGACAGCAGCGACGATGATAGTGGTCTTGGAAGTGCAAGCACAGAAGACAGCAGCGGGCTACATGATCCCCACATTGCCGACGACGATGTGCCAATGAACATAAATCCCACAGATATCCTGCCATCGACGAATCAAGGGATACCGGGGCATAATGGTTTTATGCACGGGCCAACCTGGGACATGGCCAGCGCATTGTCGGCAGATCCATGGGGGTTGCCGTCAGTAGGCGAGACGGACGGTATGGGCTTATTCCTCAGTGGTATGGTGCCGGAGCTTCACAGCATCCCACCAGAAAGCCTGCATGGTTTCGGCTTTGCAGATGCCACTGGCGGCAAAGACTGCATTTGCCCCAGTTTGTTATCACCAACCGAAGAGCTCCCCAGTGACTACAGCCAAGGAGACAACTTTCACGACGATCTGAGCGTATCGGTAATGGACACAGAAGAACAAACACTCGCCTCTTTACAGGAGAACGTGGCTCGTGGGAAACGGTGTGCAAAAATAGTGCTGACGGTAGAGGAACCCGATAATAATACGGTCGAGTCCCTGGTGCAAATTGCATTCTCCAGCAAATCACGGTTCCATTTCGCCCGCGAGTGAAAGGGTTGGAATGTTCGGGAGTTGGAGGTTTGCGGTATTTTCGTCGCCATCACAGTGGCTTTGTTTGGAGTTTGATATCACGGCGTTCCGGCGTTTCTTTACGTGAACATGTATGAGATGAGATATGCGATGGATGAGTCCAGCAGATAACATCCAACATCTGCTTGCTACCCTGTCCTAACTGTACCTTACACGAACATCTACGGATGATTTCTTTTTACGATAGATTAGTGATGAGTGCTTTGGAGCGTTTGGCGAGTCTTCGAAGCTTTGTGATTCATATGGCATAGTAAAAGGGGCCCCATGGAACCAAATCTTCAAGTTTGGTCTTTCTTTTCCATGAAAGAACGACTGTAGTGTTAATGATGACAAGTGTCTTTCTACTCCCGAGCTGCAACAACTCTACTTCACGGTTTCAAGCTGTTTCTAGGTGTGAAAGATATATATGCTACAAGGGTCTGGAACTCCCATTTTTGAAGGTGGATCAGTTTCTTGGTAGACAGAGATATATCACGGGTTCACTCCAGTACTTCAATGGCGATGGCAATCTCGTGAATCCGCACATAGTTCGAGTAGATGCCTAGTCACCCAAATGTTTCCTCGGCAAAAAGAGTGAACAAAAAAGGCACCGACTTCAGAGGAAAGGAAGAGAACTCTTCTACGTAGAGCGGCAGTGCCGGAGACTTGGGCCGGACTCGCGTACGGCCCCGACGAGATCATAGTGCACGTACGATTTTGGGGCTATCTACTTCTAGTTACATTCTCTTTGTTACCTTTTTGCAATTTGCATCTGGCGATGAAGTTGCCAAAGTCCTCTGGGCGTGAGGTATGGGGTGAATAGCGATTCTGTATACGCGTGATTCCATTTACCAGGTGCCTCGAGACCGAGGAGTGATTATATCGTAAAATGTAACACGATAAATTTATATATAGCAGGACCGCATGTGCTACCGGCTCGAGCGCATTAGATTACTATGGTAGTAGGTCCGGTTATAGCGACCGACCCACTTATCCACTCCAATATACGAGGAAAAATTTGCAAAAAAAGATTAACAGAACTGCTCCCACGCGGATTTGAACCGCGGACCTCATGATTACTAGTCATGCGCTCTACCAACTGAGCCATAGGAGCTGTGATGAGATATAGAATGGCTTATTAGTGTAGACAGGCCTTAACTAGTGAAGCATAGGCAATTAACCAGGCATCTTCCTCCCTGCAACTCCATCACAGTTAACTAACACAGCCATTCGACCGTTGCAAGTCCCAACACCATACCAATCACGGTCTTCGCCATGTCGGCACCGGTAACGGACAGTTGCCATGATGCATTCGGCGTGGACGTGCTTGTTTCACTCGCGCTTGTGGTGGTGGCAGCTGTATCCGACGTGGTCGTCGCCGACGCCGTTGGCACACTGCTGGATTCGCTGCTGGCGGTGGAGGACGATTGAGCTCGTGTTGTCGATGTCACGGTGGTATTCCCAGCAGTCGTGGTCGAATTTGACCCGGTCGAGATTGCCTTAACTTGGAAGCCATGGATGTCTACCGACGACGGTTTTGAAAAACGCTCGGTCGCTTGTCCCAAAGGCTTGTCCGAACAGTCGTCGGTGCCGTACAATAACATATTGATATTCTTTTCACCCTGCCCATCGATGGCGAATACCATTCCCTTTTCATGATTGACTGTGATGCACTCAGAGGGCCCGTCGCCAGATTCCACGTGTGTTGTGTTGCTGGCGTCTTTCCAGGTGAACTCCCACGCGCCAGTGGAAGGAAGAACGGCCAGTACAGAGACCGACAGAGGGAAAAACGCTGACCACTTCATGTTGGCGGGCGTCCACTGGCTAACAGAATAATCCGGTGTGTATGTAGGGTTGGAAGAAGAAAGGGAAATGAAGAGATCTATCTCTGCTGTCAGGATGAAACCGTCCATCCTTGGCTTATAAGCCCTCGACAGTCTCGGCCCTGTTTGCGAAATGACTTCCCAAGCACGGATGGTGAACTGCAGATCCTCGTATTCAATTTGCCGAACAACCACTCAGGACCAATGCTGATCATCTAGTTGTCTTGGCATAGGGCATTAGCTCTTCATAGATACGAGTTGCCAGGAACAAGATGGCCGGAGAACCAATGTCAGGGGAGTAGCGGCGTAACTGATGGGTTACATTGCGTTAGTCAGTCCTTCTCTGACAGGCATCCTGACAGTGCGCACATACATGTCTGTCCCACCTCGTCGAAGTAGTTTTGATGAGTTGGGATTGACTCACGCTTTTATCCATCCTTTGATCCTAATAGTGATATTGCGGGAGACATATATTCTTTGTTCTGGCTGTTTACTTTCTCTGAGTTCCACAGCTATGACTCAGTGGTCTATGCTCTTTACAATAGCAGACCTTGACAATCCTTTGACAACAACGGCAGGACGGAATCTCATACCAATGCTGTGAGACCGCTATGAAGGAGGAACTCCTTAATGGATATATTCGAAGGTTAGGCTGCAGGCTAGTCTACAAACAATTTCTGAATGTGCGACCACGAAAGAAATGTCTATGCCCCTCAGGTCAGGGTTCAATGGGTCGATCATTGACGCGCGATCAAGGCTGAGTGGCCCATCGGTTTCATATAGCTTTATCCCTTCTATTGTCGCTGTATCTGGTCCTCAGGCATGTACCTTCGTAGGCTGCAATGTGTTCGAAATGAAAAGAGCTACCTCAAATTTAAACACACTCGATGCGCATTTCCACGTCTACGCCAGATCCAACCCCATCAGCGACGACAACTCAAGTCGGCTCACCCCAAAGTACTTGGTCTATGCCAACACCAGTGCTAAAAAAGTTCCAGAAACGGATGCCGTGCGATATACTGCCTTGCAACGCACCGGTGGAAGGTCTTGCTAGAACTTGAATCACTGAGGGCTTTAGTCCACATGTCTCCTGTATAGATCGGCGGTATCTGTTAGCTCGCGGGTGCCTACTGTGTGGACGCTTGGAAACAACGTTGTGCGGCATGACAATCGACGTCTGTGGTTCTTGTCAATCCGGCTTGGTGGCCTTTCTAACAACAAGGTCAACATGCTTGCATCCTATCAAAGCCAGTGGATTTCCTTTCAGTATCCAGTACCTAGCGAGATGTCTAGTGTGGATGACCTCGTGGGAATGGCGGTCCTCTACTTCTCACCGTCAAACCACTCACGCAGCACAATACTAGCTGAGCTATAGACGATATTGCCGCAGAGACCAAGGAGCCACAGAGTAGCGAGTCTTCAAGCGGTTGAAGAGACGCGACTGATACATGTCCTGTATCGGTTCCAGCTCGGCTGTAACCTGTTTGGAGTGGGCTGTCACAGATTCACCTAGATATAAAGACTGACTATTGATTCTGGAAATCAAGACGACACTCTTATGCGATATGAGCCTCAGGAGGTCGAAGAAATCTCCTGTATCTCCACCTTCTCCAAGGAAAGATATAACCAGATATTCGCATCCGCTGGGTTGTCCATGAAGAGAATCCCAAATTTGAAGGACAACGGCTGTCCAACCCTGAAGGGGCATTTGATCTAGATAAAAGCTGTTGGTTCCAGGTCTACTGCATTCCTCTGCTCTCACCAATAACCAATACCCCTTTAAAGCTCGAGTGCAACTGATCAAAAAAAAAGAAAAAGGGAAGCAAAGGGACAGAGATAGTCTCCTGAAGGGCACAATCTGCGGCCTTGACTTGGTACATATGGTCATCGGTAAGGTAAGGAACCATACATATCTAGTCCCGACGATGCAACAGGACATGTCGTGGCCGACAGGCCGCTTCCTCGAGGGTGAAGCTCTAGGCGAGTCAGCACAGTCCCAGCAACGCCAGGACGCCAGGAGTACCCCATATGGATACTATGTGCAAGATGTCATGCGCTGTTGGGGATATGCTATGTGAGATGTGACGCGATTCGATCGCACTGGTATAAACGGTTTTTTGGCACGATATCAGGAGGCGAGTTTGGGGGACAGTAACCCAGCCGATAATTAGTTGTAGTCGCGTGATATAGTTAGAGAATGGCTGGCCTGGATGTTATCCCTAGAGTATGCATGATCCTTCTAGAACTACTAGTCGAGACCTACCGGGATTATACAATCTGGTTGCTTCTCGGGCAATATTTCTATAGGCTGCCCGGCCACCGCCTCAATCTCTATTTCAACCTCGACCTCTCAATTCCAGTGTTAGTTTACCACTGAGAGACGGGTTCGTCTGGACCGACCTTTTTGGAGTCCAACAGGCAAGACTCACTGAATTCTCTTTTCGAGATCAATTACTTGAAGCGCATCAGGTTATCCATGAGGTCGCGGGGGTGGTGGTGGGGTACACAGTCAGTCCCCTTCTACGATCGCTAACAGTGATGAACCCTGCGATTTAAACTCAAGGATCAGATTCAAAAAAACGACCAGTGACCATACAAAGTTCTGCGATTGCTATAACCACAGTCCCCACAACACCTGCAGCTCTGACGCCATCGCAAGTGACTTGGTGGCTGAGTGACGCGCAAGCGACGCAAAGAAGTACCACCGACGATCTGATATTGTCAATGCTCGTGAGTTTATAGAGGAGCTACCAGCTGACAACGAAACTGACACGACTCAAGGCCTTTTTCCAATAGAACCGTTACTTGGCAGAGTCCAAGCTGCCAAGGCTTGCCAGATGAGGTCTCGTGGTAGGATGATCGAGATGAGTGGAAAGCTGGGCTCCCACATGGTTGGGCACCACCCCGCAGTCGTTGCATTAGTGTTGGAATAGTGTTAGAGCGTCCCCAGAGTCTAATCCCAGATCTTGTCGCTCGGGCAGTCTTGGCAATAGATGCTGATGGGGAAATGTGCGGGTTGGTGATAGCTCTCGAAGCAGTGGGCGAGGACACCGCTCTTTGTGAGCATTAAAGCTTCGCAGAATTGTGCAAGCGATGAACATCATAATCGAACCAGATCTCTCCAGAGCATGATGTCACGGGCCATATTTAAGCTTATAAAAGATCCCTGCTACTGGCAGGGTTGTCTTTATCGCGCAAGTTTCTCGATCATAATATCTCGGTCACCCTGATTTCCTTTGTCCTTAGATCGATAGCTGCCCCCTGAAAAATGTCGGCATCAGACATTGCCGACGAGAAGCAACCTGATGCTCAGCATGTGGACAATGTCAGGAGTCTCGTCACCATTGACAATATCCATGTGCTCGGTCTGAGTCCTGAGGATACGCAGTTCTACACAAACTTCTCGGCAGAACAGAAAAAGGCACTCCTATGGAAGGTACATTTTCACATATCTGCTACACTGGGACTGAAGTTAATCTGTGCCACCTGAAATCAGGTTGATATTCGCTTGGTGCCAATGCTGGCCGTGCTTTACTTGATCTCTCAGATTGACCGAGCCAACATCGGAAATGCAAAGATTGAAGGCCTCACGGAAGACTTGCGACTAAGTGGCATCCAGTATAATATCGTGCTGAGCATCTTTTTTGTCCCCTATGTGCTTCTGGGTACGCATACACTACACCATGACAGTCCACACCGCGCTAACTGTAACCGCAGAGGTGCCGAGTAATATGCTGCTCAAGAGCTTTTTCAGGCCTTCAATCTATCTGGGAATCCTCATTACTTGCTGGGGAATTGTGATGACCCTGACAGGCATTGTACAAAATTTCGCCGGCATGCTCATCACGCGTCTCCTACTGGGTGTGTTCGAGTATGTCCCCCTTGCCCAGGTCATCTAATCAATTAAGGATATCGCTAATGCATCCAACAGAGCAGGATTCTACCCCGCAGCAGTGTATTTATGCACATTCTGGTATATGCCAAAGGACCTCGCCTATCGCATCTCGGTCTTTTACTGTGCCAGTGCTCTCTCCGGGGCCTTCTCGGGTCTTCTAGCCGCCGGCATTGCGCAAATGCATGGAGTTGCCGGCCAGGAAGGCTGGCGATGGATTTTCCTACTGGAGGGACTTGCGACGGTAGTTCTTGGAGTGATGTGTTTCTTTCTGCTGATTGATTCACCGAGAAGATCGAGCAAGTGGCTTCGCCCCGAAGAAATACGATACCTTGAGCTGCAACATTTCATTAAAGAAGGGGGCGACTTCAAACAAGAAAGGAAGAAGGTTTCATGGGAGGAGCTGAAAGCGGTTTTGCTCAACTGGAGGCTGTATGGGCTGGCATACATCTTGCTTTGCCAATCTGCCTCCGCCTACGGTTAGTTGACTTCCCTGGGTAAATCGTGGCGTGTCGCACTGATAATAGAATATACAGGCCTCAAATTCACCATGCCTACGATCACGAAGGCCATGGGGTTTACCAATACAAACGCGCAGCTCATGGTGGCACCCCCGTATATCGCGGGTGCCATCTCCGCCATCTGTTTCTCTAAACTGTCCGACCGCTTCTACTGGCGAATGCCCTTTGTTGCGATCCCATTGACGGTGGTCACGATTGGCTATTCAATTGTTATATCGTTCCATGGACAATTGAAGGAAAACATTGGCCCTAGTTACTTCGCCATGATACTTGCCTGTATGGGCCTGTACCCGATCCACCCTGCCACGAGCTCATGGTTGGCCAATAACCTGGCTCCATCCGGGCGCAGAGCCATTGGCCTTGCCTTTAGTATCTGCATTGGCAATACCGGCGGCGTGATCGGCAGTTATATGTACATGGATAAGGAGGCCCCCACGTATTATACCGGGTTTGGCTTGTCACTCGCTTTCGGTGGGTCTGGGTTGCTTGTAGCGCTTCTGCTGGAGCTCTCGTTTATTTATGGCAACCGGAGGAAAGCAGCCCAATCTGAATCGGAGATCAGAGAGCGGTACACGGACGATCAATTGTTGGCCATGGGGGACAAGTCTCCTCTATTCAAGTACACTCTGTGAGTGTATCGCATGGCGTTGGTTTGTGTTAGATTAAGCGGGTATATT